AATGATTATTTGGCACATTTGGTATGTTCTTGACAGTGATATAGAAATACAAAACTCTCTGTAACATGGACAATCAGTAACTTACAAGCACTACTTTCCACAACAAAAGCAGGACTTTCTTCATGGGGAAGTGTGGGGCACTACCACTACAGAACTTGGTGATCATGCTGAACAATATCACAGGTAGAATATCCTCCCCAACTAGCGGAGTCACTGTAAAAAAATAACAGGTCACGGTTAACAGGTGATTATATACTTGTATTATGATACATATTAAAACATGACTTTGAGCTTCACTGGAAACAGATTAAAAATATATTGGACCATATACTAAAGATTGATAATGCAATTTTATGGTACTGAACTCCTTGCAAGCAGGGTTAAATACCTAGATCTTCTATGAAGATACTTCTGTTGTGTCTTTGTTCATCAGATTCTGTATCCAGTGGACATCTCATCACCTCCACCATAATGTACAAGACATTCAGGATCAACCTGTCAATACAATGTAGTATGTTAATACCTACACACAGGGTTAGGCATTTTAATGATTTCTTTTTGTCAATTTTGCCATTAAAAATATTTTGGGATCTTTTTTATCATAGCATTAACATTTTGTACTATTGTTATGAGTAAAGTCATCCATTTGCACACACTTGTTACATGTACAAATTTCTATCTTGGTAATTTAACTGTTTCTGGTTGCTGATATACAGCCTTTTGTCTGTACCTTAAGTCACTGCTATCTGCTACAGAAACAGCCAGTTTTCTCATCGCTATAGAGGCTGCTGATGTATTCCTAAATGTCAGATAAATACAATGAGCAATCATTTGATGACATGTCACAAACCATTACAAATTGAGGCAGGACAATATACAGGTACACTGTATTTCCTGCTAAGATATGATTTACAGCACATTCCTTGTACTATCAGAACAAAACATAAAATCAAAAACATGAAAACAATATATGAATGAGACTATGTCTGAATTGTAGACAGAACTTACTCCATCTCCATGGAGAGGAGCTCCACGAAGGAGACAAACAGGCCTTGCTCGTACAACAGGTGGACGTTTCTGTGTGTCCAGTCTCTGTGTTCCTCCTCCGAGATACACTCCCCATACACACCTACAATAATAAATACACTCCACATACAACACAGCAGTGTAATGTAATACACACCTACAAAACAGCAATGTAATGTAATACAGCAAAACTCGCTTATTACGAAGTCACATGGACCTATGAAATTACTTCGCTATATCCGTAATTCGTTATAACCGTACAAGAAATTCATTAAATTTACATAGCTGGGGATCCAAGAACACTTCGCTATATCCGTAAATTCACAATATCCGTGTTCGTACTAAATGAGTTTTACTGTAATGTAGTACAATTAATACCCTCCCCATACACTTCTAAAATAATTTAAAAGCAGTGTAAGGAAAAACAACCAACAAATTCGTCACACGCCCATACACATGCACCTCAAACTTTTATTATAATTATAAGTGTTAATATTTGCATTGAACACAGAATATTATAAAACCAAAAAGGATCCCAGACCTTACCTTGTACGAGATATAACAGAGACCACATGGCATTAATTCTGCGTTCCTTGTCTGCGACTTCTAGTTCATTCTGTAGGAACACAATGTGTTTCCTCTGTATAGCCTCATCAGACTTCGTCCATTTATTGTCACCTATTGAATCATCACAGATTTATATGTGTAAAACTTACAGATCTTAATCTCAGAACAAAACAATAACATGTATGATCTAATAAACATATTTCTGTAAATTTAGTATCTCTGTGTCAAACGATGTTATTGTGATTTTCTCTTGTGCGGCAGTGCCATAACATTTTCTTCTCGAAATATTTCATAAATGCCTGACACATGATACAAGCCCTTTCTTACATTCTGTGTTTATAAACCCCTCTTCAAACTTCTTTCTTGATGATTCAAATTCTGAGTCCTCAGTGTAACTGAAGAGTTCTGAAAATATTCACAAAGAAGAAAATATAATAATATGATCTTGTGTGGAGGTGTAAATAATACAAAATATATTCAAATATGCAATCTAAGAAAAATCTGATGTAAGATTCTCTCACATACTCACTACAATAACGTCTAATAACATCCCAAAGAGGGTTACTTCAGGGGTCATTTGAAACAACTCTAGACTTACATGTATCATGTGTATTGCTTCAACAAATATATGATGATTTTACATGCAACAATTTGATTGCTTGATTGAATTTGACCTCTGATGTGACCCTCTATGGGATGTGTGTTAAATGTTAGTGTAGTGAGAATGGGAGCAGATCTAACATCTAAATTTAATTAGATTGTCAAATATATAAATTAAACATGTTAGAATATAAAATTCTATGTAAAACATCTGTACGACTTAACAGCATTCATATACATCAATACATTTAATTTGTTTTCAATTTTGGAAAGATATGGAAATCTTATCTATTTGGAAAACTTGCATTTTTCTGCATTTTATTATCAGTAGAAACTTAAACATGTGTTAAAGGTGTAAATACATACCTGCTAATTCTGCATTGTAGGTGTCTGCATCGTCATAAATAAATTCTATATCTGGGCATTCTGTCATACTCTACATGAACAAAACAAAACTAATGAGTATATTATAATATCAGAACGATAAAACAGAGATTGAAGTATCTTTTTCAAGATATCATCAGTGATCATATTCGTCATATAAATTACTATTTTTTTCCCAAAACGCGAGGGAAGATTTAAATAACAAGCCATCCCACTTCTTTAAAATTAAATATACATTACCTCTGAAAGTGAATCATCTCGCTGTCTCCGTAAAATGTCTCGTAATTTTGGCAGACCTTCTTTCTTATTTCCAGCCTCCATCTTGAATTTGTTTGCTGAAGAGTTCCTACAAAGGGACGCAACCTCGGTGACACAAAATCGAAGTACTGAAGGTACTTAAAGCTCACACAACTGAGGCAGATATAGAACATGTGTAATGACCAAGATATCTAGCCAATGGTAAATGAAAAAATGCTTATTATAATTAACTACCGTATACAGTGTGTTCGTACTATTTTTCTTTATCAATTTTCAGCACAGGGGCTTGTGTAGAGAAAATAAATCAGTTTAAAAAATTAGTACCTCGGAGAGAAAAATGTATTTTTCTCTCCGAGGTACTAATTTTTTAAACTGATTTATTTTCTCTACACAAGCCCCTGTGTTTTCAGTTTGTCTATCGCTCTTCACACTTTTTTTTACTGCAAAATATTAAGACTGCATGGGTTTTACTTACTGTTTCTCTTTAAATTCACTTAACCTATTCTTTTGAATTTTAATTATTATATGTCTTTATAAGAATTATCACCTTTCTGGGTGCTCCTTATACTTAGGAGGGAATTCCTAGACTGAACTAAACCTATAGCTCGTAAGCAAAATTAAACTTTAGCATATATTATTATGTACTTTGTGTGGTTTATATAGCAATCTTAGAATTATAATACCCCCTGCTTAAAAAGCAGGAGGGTATATAGTAATCGGTATGTCCATCCATTTGTCTAGCTGTATGTCCGTCCATCTGTCTGTTACGCTTTGAGGTACCCATCTCTTATCCGCAACTGATCCTCTTCTACCACTCAGTCCACCGAGTGAAACTAAATGAAATTCAAACTTTAATTCACAGAATCTTTATTACATATTGCCATTGTGACCTCCTATTTTACTTTTTGATCTGGCACATATTTTAATGGGTTTCTCGGCCACAGCAAAACATGGACTTTGCCAATACATGTATAACCATATGGGAGGCAGGGGTTATCATTTAGTGAGCTCATTTGCTCACAATACCTCTAGTTATTATATGTTAGATCTTTTGTACTGCTCTTAGGAAATTTATTTGGCAATTTACTAAGAACAAGATGAAAACATGGACCTATATACTATATACAATGTATATAGTATATAGGTCCACGTTTTCATGTATATTATACATGTATATAAGTCTCAGTCTGATGAAAGTTCTAATTTTGATTAAATTGGGGGTTCAGACTTCAATATTTGAAATTCTATTCAATGAAACCAGTGGCTTTATGTGCATTAACACCTTGTTCCAAAACTCAAAGATTTTTAAAAAGATTTTTATTCCATATAAGTATCATGATCTTACAATAAATTTAATTTGATGACAATACTTTGCATAAAATTAGGCAATTACAGTATAATTTGCAAGTTAAAAAAAGTACACAAAAGAGGTATTATCATGATAATTCACAACCAAAATAAAATAAAATATGATACTCCAAAAACGATAAATATTTGTAACAATATATTTGGTTCAAATGGCAATTAAAAACTTAAAATATGACTAGAAGAATTGAACTGATAACGAGACTTGATCTGCATAGTATTTCTAAAACATATTTGGAAGACACTATCTGATCAAACCATCTCTTAATTAACACTTTTATCAACACTGAAGCTAATTAACTGTGTATGAAATAAAAAATGTTTAAAACCACTTGACAATGCATTTGAATTTAAAAAGTTTGAAATAAATTTTGATGAGGAATTGTTTTGTTTCCTTACATTACATGTTAGAAAATTATATGCAATTATTCATGGTAACTGGAAATATATACCAATTAACATCTTCTCAATGACAATCATTAAAAAAAATAATACCATGCAGGTAGTACATAATTACTAGTACATTATGGTTCATGTATTTCATGTACAGTACATTGTACAGTGTACAGACAATTTAATATATTTTATATGTATTTTGTGATCAAAGGAATATGAGGAATGACACAACCATGTTTTTATTAACATAAAACTCCAGGCAAACAATACCAATGCAAAGTTTGTTTTACTACACATAAATAGAAGCAAGGTAAACAGATGAGAAAAGATACCTAAAAGTAACGTAGAATGTCCTATTTATACAAAAATTTTCTAGTAAAACAGTGCAGTGCAGTGAATAGAATTTATATACAATTGTATAATTTTCAGGTTATGCAAATAATATCTGTTCAATAAAAGGACATGTATTATTTTACTGAAGTACACAAATACAAAACTGTTTTCAGTAAATGCAATGTATAGTAAAGGGCATAAAAAGTAAATACAAGTGTATAATTTACTACATTTGTACTTATAATTTAAGCAATTTTCACATAGATTATTAATGTATAGTCTACTATTAAATAATTTCTGATTATGCTGATTAAGATTGTATAGTACATGTATGACATTTATACAATTTGCAGTTTGGTTACTAGTACAAAGAATTCCTGAACAGTGTACAAAATAATTATGTGGAGTCATATTCGTCTGAGAAGTCCTTGTTAGTTGTAAACAAGATGCCAGGAATTTGTCCAATCTTCACGTCCGTTCCATTGCGACTGAACTTAGATTTACTGAAGCTGAAGCGCACACCTGAACAGGTGACCGTGCTGAGCCCATTCTTCCCTTGATAAGTGTCCAGCCCGTCAGAGCTAATTAGTTTCACCACTAACGAGTGCTTCTTTCCTGGTCCAATATCTATGGGCGTCTCTAAGAGGATTGGATATGTGTGCTGGCTCTCGCTGGTTTTTAACCTGGTTTTTCGGGTGACCTTTTCTGTTTCCATCGTATCGTAAATGGAGCAGGTCACATCGTACACTCCTTCACCAATGTACGATCCATAGACAAGAATACCATGCAGGGAGATCTTCTCATTGCAGGTGAAGGAAATGGCATCTGGTTCACCACCACAGTACCACGAACCGTCCTCGTAAACCGTTTGATACCGGATACAGGTTTGTATGGGCCGACTGTCGTTTACATCCGAGTGGAAAGATGTCGTCATGGAGGTAGGAGAATCCAGTCCAGAGTATCTGTTTATTGCACTGAACTTACACTTTTTACTTCTCTCCTTCTTAAAGAAGAACTTGAAGAGTTCCACTTTTTCGGCATCAGTGAGAATGTCCATATCTGCAACAACCTCAGTGAAATATTGATCCCCGAGTAATGGGAACCTTACCAGATAGATAATGTCCCCCAGAACCTTCCTTTGGTTCTCTGCATTGATGTCCAAACCTTTCACCTCACATTGAGCAAGTGCCCACTTCAGGGCAGCATCTAGAACTGATTTCTCATCAATCTGTAATTCATCACTGGATAAAATAACTTCAAGACATTTGGAGGAGAGGTTCAGAAAATCTTCTGAATGTAATACCTCTTTAGTGTGACGACAGATGTAGCTCATGCATTTCCTCTGAAGTTCATGTTCATCATACAAATGTGATTGTTCAAGAATAGCACAGATGTTCTCTGTGGTTTGATCCAGTTCAAGATACTGAATGCACTGTTTCACCAGAGCCTGGATGGAATACTTCTTGGCAGCATACAGCAATGGCAGAACAATATCTGGCTGTGGGTCTACAGAGTCAGTGTAGAGGAACCTGTAACACAGAGAATAAATTCATACAAAATGGAAAAGAATTCATCAGTAAAGAATTTCTCCACATAAGTCTTTAATTCTGTTTTCAATTTTTAAAACTTTTTTTCATCATATATACCAGAATCAACACTTTGTTCACATTGATTGATCAACTACTATAAAGCCCTATATGGACTAAAAAAATGTAGAATGTAGAAATTAAGTGAATACATGTATTGATATTTGTATGTACAAACACTTACTCTAGGAGCGCCTTAAAAACAGGAGGCTCAATATCAGGTAGAGTTATTTCCCTTTGTGTTTCAGCAAGGGGTCCACAGAACATGGAGAAGAAAACACAACTCCTGCTAACCAGAACGTACTTGTGAGCCGACACCCTCTCCTTGTTCTCTCCCACCAGGAACTCTATGTCACATGCAATCTGATTGGTCCACATGTATTTATTACAGTACTGTATGTTCCTGCAGGACTGCCAGTCATCAATGATGGAGGCCGCCATTCTCCTGAGAGAAAAAAGAAAAACTTGATCAACACAAATTCTCTCCCTTCGTAGATTAAGGTTTAGAACTATATATATATGCTGCAAAAACTGAGAATTCAATGGTGGAGATTGCCATTCTCCTAACCTAGCTCCTGAGAGAAACAAGAATAAACTGAATAACTTTGGCAGCACAAATTCTCTCAAAAAATAAATGTACCTTGGTAATTTTAAGGGTTATCTGCTGCAGAGGCAGAACTTTCTGTCTGAAATGATATTGTCTTACAGACATGTTTTGTGGGCTTATCCCAAGACAAGACAGTTACTGAGTTAGAAACAGGTCATGAACAATCTCTTGATTAAGGTATAAAGCTTTATTTAGCTATTTAGCTTTATTAAGCTATTTGGAATAGCTTGATACGGCTGTTTTATCAAACTTTTTTCTCAAATGTGTTGGTCATGTTAGTCAGGACAATCCCTCACAACAGTTAGAATACCTCCCATACACTCGCAATGTAGCAAAAAATTGCAGAATCGCTCCAAAACGATTTTGAAGAATACAAAAGAATCTGCACTGAAAATAACTTCCAAATTAATTGTAACAAACCTTTCTGAGATTTTTAAATGCCTTTCATCCCCCAAAAAAATCCATAAAAAGAGGCAAATTCAACTAATTTTCTTAACGTTTTTTCTTGCTTCAAATTTACATGCCATTTTTCCATTCGGAACTCTCGGGATTGTTTGTAGTAAATGCACTGAGTACAAGTTATCGCCTGTGTTTATTTTGTTACATTGAGAATACACGGAACGAATTCTATCGTTAAACCGGGTGTGTATGACATTTATCATTTTAACGATAGAACATTCTATCTATGGTCATGTCAGTGCAGTGATTATAGCGAGCGCAGCTAGCATCGCGAAGCGACACTTGCAAAGCGAGCTCAAGAGACTAACGTGTGAGAACAGAGGAAATTCGGATTGAAATCTATACATACGTCAGCCAAATTTCTCTGTGAAACATTCCCAGAATTCCTGCACTACCCAATGTCCTTTGCGCAAATAAATAAATAAATAATAACGTAAAGCAGAAAAGGCTATCAGTTTGTAGAAATCTTTCAAAGAAACAAAAAATAACTCTTCAAAGTTTTTCAACCAAAATTGCACTATAGGTATATAGTTTCAAACAGATGCTCCGCTGTCTCCGTAAGCTCCAACGAGCTCCGTGATGTCGTGTGACGTCACATCTAGTCGAGATGTCTCGTGCAGCTTGATGTTTGAAGCACAGGTACTTATGGACAGGATCCCCCCCCCCCGAAATTCAACCCCGGGGCTTGTTGGACAATTTTATTCAAAAATTATTTTTTAATTATTACACTTATTCATCATGTGTACAATATGAAAAAATCGTCAAAACCCCAAAACAATCGCTCTACAAAAAAATACCCCACTATACATTTTAAGGGAGAAAGGTATGCCACTCCGGTTTGTTTACGTTGTACCCCCACTGGTCTTTCTGGGTTTAAAAACATGTATTTATTTTATTTCAACCTAAAATGTCGATTCACATCGTCTCTGCATATATTTCTGTCTTCGTGCATGCTTTCGGATTAACTCTGCATCTCGTAATAATCCCACATTATCTGATTATCTCCGTAAACTGTTTTCCAGATAGAACGCTGAAATTTCCCTAGGTTATCGCAACAGAGTGCATAGAGAATGTTTTACTTATTAGGATAACGTCCGAGAGTTTTGTATGACGTAATAATCTCTCTCGGGTTTTATCATATATTCTCTATGCACTTCCGTTGCTTTCACTTAGGGAAATTTCAAACCGCAGTGGCATACCTTTCTCCCTTATAATGTATAGTGTGGTATTTTTTTTGTAGAGCGATTGTTTTGGGGTTTTGACGATTTTTTTCATATTGTACACATAATGAATAAGTGTAATAAATATAATTTTTGAAAAAAATGTCCAATAAGCCCTGGGGTTGAATATCGGGGGGGGGGGGGAAGGGTCTTGTCCACAAGTACCTGTGGTTTGAAGTGGCTGATAAAGTTTTAGAGTGTTTTTGATGGTACAACTGCACTTGCCCCAACGGTCACACCGTAAAACATATTACAGGTTGGGACCAATCGCCCAAATGGGATATAATAGTCTGTTTGGGATATAATATCCCAAATGGGCTATAAATTTACAGTGCAAAAATTGAAAATTTTTATTTTGGAAATAAATATTATAAATCCGCATCAAGACACTAAAAAAGGAATAACTTTTGGTTGACAAGTTTTCCTGTATGCCCATTGTTTAGGAGATTGATCCCTCGGAAGTTCCTTAACTTCTTGGGGATCAATCTTACAAACTGTAGGGTTGCAGAAAAACTTGCTTACCAAAAGTTATTCCTTTTTAAGTGTTTTGATGCGGATTTATGATATTTATTGCCAAAATAAAAATTTTCAATTTTTGCACTGTAAATTTATAGCCCATTTGGGATATTATATCCCAAACGGACTATTATATCCCATTTGGGCGATTGGTCCCAACCTGTATTATTCAACTTTGAACTCTTCTGAATTATTCAGTGAATACAATGCATGTAAAAAATCAATCATCAAATTGACTTTGAAATCAAAGTTCCAAAAGAGTGACCACACAGTTATGCAGAAACATCTATGATTTAGGTTGTATAATTGATAGCCCATAGTACGAATACTTGTGACTTTTTTGTTTACTTCTAACAGAAAACGTTTTCATGAAAAACTTTGTATTTAGCTTAATCAGGCTATTCTGAATAGTTTAATAAATATATGTAGATATTTAAAGCTACATAACTTAATGAAGAGATGATGCTGGACCTGAGATTCTCAGTGAGAAACTACCTGACTGAGTGACTGTCCGTACACATCTCTGCTTGGGCAGAGAAATACGAAAAATTGCCATGTTCTTTAATTGTAGTATTAATAGCCATTCTCTGTAACCACTTAAACTTCGTTGCCACGCATGGTCACCGATTTTGATGAAACTTCACCCATGCTTAGTTCTTGACACCAGAAACAAATATCAAACAAAATTTCGTTGCTAAGTGTCTCGGTTGCTATGGCAACAGCCGGAAAAGTTTGAAAAATCGAGATTTTCAACCACTTTAAATCTTGACTGTGGCTTAATAAAAACTAGAAAAAGCAAACAAACCATTCTCACAAAAACATGACACCTTGATGTTACTTATACTGTAAAGAAACTGTTTTGAATATATCTCTAAGTAAGTGGTAACCAAGGGTACATTTGGAATACATTTAAAATGCTGAAATATGCTGAAAAACACTCCATATTCACTAATGGTAGGTGTTACATGCTCAAACTCAATCAACGACTTAAGAAAAACAATGAAAATGTTTGACCTTAAGTATATAAGTATAAGCAATATTATTCTATAAATAACTTTAATGGTTGCCATGGTAACATAGTGTAACAATGCAAAACCTGTAACTAAGATTGGGTTAATGCTACTGTCTTGAGGAAAAACATGAAAATTTAAGACTGGCAAATATACATCCTTAGGACCTTGCAACACCAAAACCATAAGAAATATTGGGTATAATTGCTACTTTGCAGTGTTACCATGGAAACAAAGTACCAGTGCTTAAAAGTGAATTATTATTCGCTGCATTAAGAATCAAATTGCCACATAATCAAGAAACAAATTAAAGGACTCAGCTTGAATAGAACTTATCTGTTAGAACTGAAGTTGAATATCATATATTGATAAAACTTGACGAAGAAAACAACACTGTTGCTATGGTTACCAAGAAGGGAAAATGTTCGATTTTGTGAACTTTATATCAATATTAAACCCTGTGTGCCAGCTTCTTGCATCCAGTTAGAGATTGGATGATAGTCAAAATTAAAAATCAGGTCAGCTGTTAATAAATATCAATCATAAAAGTTTTGGGAATCTACATTTGAGGGTACGTATCCAAGGTAACAAAATATTTTTCAGATTTTTAAGCATATTTTTTCTGCTTATTTCCATAGCAACGCTCTATTTAAAGAATCCGATCTAAATTTTTTTAAATGGGGAAATAAGGACCACACCAACATCTTTAAAAATTGATCATTATTTATGAGGAAATGTGTTTTCTAAAAAGATAGGATCAGATTTAAACATACAGAGTGTAAATTTGAAGGCTCTCTGTTCTATAAAAACCTTGGCAACCATTGCCAACCAAACTGAAATATCATAATTTGTTCTTGGTATATGTTTCAAGGCTCTTTTCTCTATTATTTGATCACATTTCATCATATAATTGCTTTTTATTTTTACGTGTATGACTTTATAAAATTCAATGAATATTTTTTTTACTTTCTAATAATTTGTTACCATAGTAACGTATGTAATAGTTGATTTACCAAACCTGTTTATCATGCATTTGAGGCAACAGGCCTTCAACCTTTTGGAAACAGTCAATGCCAATTGTTTGCTTTGCCGCAAATGTTAATTATGGGGCTCTAAACATGGTAAAAAATGTCATTTTTTAAACTTTTAGACATGTTGCCATGGTAACTATAACACATAGCAACCAATTTTTGCCTGATTTTAGTTAAGGGTATCAAAGACTTTTATCATAGAGAGTTTGGAGAAATTCTGAGACTATGCGTGCCACAACTCCTATATAAAATTTCAAGTCATTACAGAGAATGGCTCTTAATTGATATGTTTTTTTTACTTCATAATTTCTTTTAAGTCCGATTATATGGTTGATTTTATCGTTATCCGTTGATAATTCGATAAAAATGAAATGTTTACCTTTCACCTAGACTGGCCTGCCTGTCTGATATCCGATATATATTTTCCTGCGTACGGTAAAGACAGGCAATACCAGTCTACCTTTCACCTCTTTCATGGGCCTATTCGGTACTGCATAACTTGTACGCTAAATATTTCGTTTTTCCCCCTTTTACTAGTTTTATCAATAATTATTGATTGTAAATAATCTCTGATATATCTTTGCTAAAAAAATAACAAATAAAACTTTTAAAAACAAATAATGAAAAAATATAGCAACATAGGGCATTTTTACATAAATCATTAATATGGTGGAATAAAATACGTATGCATGATGCAAGTATTTTTTCTGTGTTTATCAAACGTTTTCCTCCTTACTCCCCATTTTCCCTGTTTCAAACGTTTACTTGTCGTGGTTTAAAATAACTTCCCGAACTGCCTCCTGCCATTTAGTGTCAGTCCTGCTTTTTCTAACTTAGGATTTTTGTTTTTCGGCCGGTTTGTGATTAATCAACAATAACAACACGTTGATGTTTCAGTTTTTGTACATATGAAACGGAAAAGTGTGTTGTTTTTAAAGATCTAACTGTTATTTATTATCTTGTAGATTTATGCAAGCTGCTGGTTAAGCAACTGTTTGACCCTGAGACGTGACACATTGCATAACCAAAACACAAAAGGCTATCAGCAGCCAGCCACCAACTCTACAAGAACAAAGATGGCAGATAAAGTTCTCACCATGGATGCTGTGAATCCCAATATAAGGGACATGGAATATGCAGTCAGAGGCCCCATAGTAGCTAGGGCTACTGAGTTAGAAAAGGACCTAGCCAAAGGTGCCAACAAACCTTTCACATCCGTGATGAAGGCCAACATTGGTGACTGTCATGCTACAGGCCAGACACCCATTACCTTCATCCGTCAGGTTTTGTCACTGTGTGCATATCCGGATATGATGGACACTTGCGGATTTCCTGATGATGTCAAAGAAAGGGCCAAGCGATTGTTAGGGGGCTGTAAAGGGGGCAGTGTTGGGTCCTATTCGGCCAGTCCAGGTATAGATGTAATAAGAGAGGATATTGCTAAATACATATCTGATAGAGATGGAATTCCTAGCAAACCGGAAGATGTCATGTTGTGTACAGGAGCTAGTGACGGAATAAAGACAATTCTAGCCATGCTAATGACTGGGAAATTGGGGAAGGAGAGAGCTGGTATCTTGATTCCTGTCCCTCAGTACCCCCTGTACTCAGCAACCCTCACAGAATTTAATGCCTATCCAATCCCTTATTACATGGATGAAGAGAATCATTGGGGGCTTGATGTAAAGGAGTTAAAAAGAGCCATTAATGAAGCTAAATCAAAATGTGTCCCCCGGGCTATTTGTGTCATTAATCCTGGAAATCCCACTGGACAAGTTCTTACCAGACAAAACATTGAAGATGTTATCAAGTTCGCAAAGCAGGAGAAACTTATGATACTGGCTGATGAGGTATACCAACATAATATATGGGGAGAAGGCTGCCAGTTTTTCTCCTTTAAGAAAGTCCTGTCAGAAATGGGCCCTGAGTACAATACAATGGAGCTGGCCTCTTTCATGTCTGCATCAAAAGGGTTTATGGGGGAGTGTGGTGCTAGGGGAGGATATGCAGAGGTGGTCAATTTACTTCCTGATGTCAAGGCTTGCCTCATGAAGTCCATATCAGCCAAACTATGCCCACCAATTATAGGACAAATCGTCATGGACTGCATCACAAATCCTCCAAAATCAGGAGACCCTTCCTATGAAAAATTCAAACAAGAAAAAGACAATGTTCTGGCTCTACTGAAGAAAAAAGCAAGTATGGTCACCAGTTTATTCAACTCTATAGAGGGCATTAAATGCAATGAAGTCCAAGGAGCTATGTATGCATTTCCCAGAATCTTTCTACCTCCAGCTGCGATAGAAGAAGCCAAGAAAAGAAACCAGACCCCTGATGCCTTCTACTGCTTCCAGCTATTGGAGACTACTGGAATCTGTGTGGTGCCGGGGAGTGGGTTTGGAGAGAAGGAAGGAACTTACCATTTTAGGATCACTATACTCCCTAAAATAGAGGAGATGACATCAGCTCTGGAGCGCTTCAAGGAATTTCACCTGGCCTTCTTGGCACGCTACAAAAACTAACTAGTTCAGGTAAGTTCTAACTTCTAAATGAAATTAATACTGAACATGCTGAATGCGTACATGTGTATCATAATGATAATCATGATAATCATGATTAATATGTACCTTGAATTTTATGCCAAAATTTAATTATTACTGCCTGCATGTGATTTTTATGTAATATAAGAAATATTTAAATTTTTCAGAAATAAATATGGTAATACTTTTTTGAATTGAAAGTTTCAGCCTAAGATCGTGAGAGTAAAACACGCTTATAATGAAATGCTAGGGACCAACAATTTTGCTTCATTGTATGCATGATTCATCATATCCTTTAATTTTGTAATACATTTTATCTCGATCAAGTCCAATTTCCTTTGAAATATTAGTGTGATTATTCAATATTTTCTTTCCCTTTACAGGGATAAGAAGTGAAGTTCTAGAAATACAGGACAAAAATTGAATGTGGCTGCATTTAAAATATGACTATTGTTTGTTGACATTGTTGTTGTAAATAGTACATGGCACTGAGTGAAATGATGCTCTTCAGTGCAGTATTTAACCAAATTTTTATCCTTGAATTTTATCTGATTTCCCAGAAAATAATTTTTTTTTTACTATTATTTTAGTGCATTTTTAAATTTACTTTTTAAAATTGCTTCAGGAAAGTTTTTAAATCTTGTTTATGTCTCATGTCCATAAACTGAATGGAAGTCATTGGTAATTTTTCCCTAGTTGTTGTACATGCTTGTTATTTTTTCTCAGAAATACATTGTATTATCTCTGATTACAAGAATGCTTCTACTGATTACAAGAATGCTTCTTCTCTAGTGAACATGTATTTTTGAATTTTATCTTTAACATCTTTATCATGATGTTTATACAAGGTAGTATGTACCTTACCCAAAGAGCTTTTGTTTTTATATGAAAATGTCACAGACACTTGATTTTGCAATAAAAATGTTAACCCATAGTATAATATCTACATGTTATTATTATAGTACCATAGGTTAAAATATTATTACAGAATCAAAGTGCCTGTGGAAAATATCTGTGTATGTTTTTCAACATGATAAGTATATGTGGGGATTGATGCCCCAATCACTAGATGTAGTTTGGTGCTTTTTATTGTTTTTTTCAATGTTCCAGCTGAGCTGAGATTGTTGCTTAAGTTTCATCATTCTCCTGGTCACCCACGTAAAATTTGCCTGTATACAATAGAAAACTGTACTTTTTAAAGAATCAAAATGCAAACATGTCATGCAAGTGTTCAAATCCAATTAAACAACTTATGATTTACATCGTGGACTGTTCTTTTCGAATGTACCCATGGAATAAATATAAAAAGGTTTTTTTTCACTTTATTAATATTAAAGATCCAAAGATTAAAGAGACTGGATTCCTTCTAACTCACAGACTTACACCGAATGTACCAATGGAATAAATATCCAATTTTTTTTTTTCAATTTATTACTATTAAAGATCCAAAGATTATAGAGACTGCATGGACTCATTCAAAGTCACAGAGTTACACATTTGTGCCATATTGTTGAACTGTGAATGATTGCTTTTTTTTTTATTTGTCATAGAGTTGAATATTTTGAGGTTTGACCTTTGATTTTAAAGAATATATATATTAAAAGTATTTACTTTGTATATATGTGTCTGCCTTAAGATTTAGAAAAAAAGTTTATTTTGACCAACAACTTCAATATATATGTATACTATGTAGATTTTTATCTTGTTTTAAATATTTTCAGATTTATGTTCAAATGCAAAATCTAAATTGATGCAATATTAAACAATTAGTTCTTTGGGAAATGTTTTTGTGCAGTAGTACTTAGTCTACACCACTGTAGATAACCATTGCATACATGTTTGTTTCATTTGATCTTTGTTCAATTCTTTGAGCATCTGAGATACAGTTTTATTGAATGCGATAAAAGTAATGAATCTAGTATTATAAAGATAGAGAATTTTTATTACAAGAGTCCAGAGTTCTAGAGTTATGTGAGAATGAAGTGGTCATTGCCTTAGAAAACATGAAAATTAGACTGTTGAGGAGATGGACCTTGTTTTATAAGTTACTAGTATTGAACACATTTTGCTTTTATTAATTTATTTTGTCTTTTAAACCCAAAATTGAGTGTGTTTATAACTATTCCTTTTGTATAATTATTGTAATAATATGATAATTTTTAGCTCTAATGGTCGGAGACCAGAAGAGCTTATGCGATAGTAATGCATCCGTCTGTCTGTCTGTCTAGCTGTCTGTCTGTAAACAATTTTTCAAAATGCTCCTCCTACAGTTTTGGTCTGATTTCAATATAACTTGGCACACAAGTAGACTACTCTAAGATACATAATTTTTTTTATTTAAGGAATAACTGCCTTATTTTTCGATTTCATGATGTGATCAATCGATTGGGTTTGCATGATAATTATCACACAAGCCAATCGATTGATCATCGTCATGAAATTGAAAAATCTGACAGTTATTCCTTATATTTACATGCTTTGATTCCGCCAATCCACGTTCTCCAAGCCCTGCTTCTGTCTAGCTGTTTCTTACGCCCTGCACGTGGTTTTTTTTGGAACCGCGCCAATACATTGATGGGAAAAAAAGTACATTTACATTTGGTAATTTTATCTCGGACAAAGACATTGGAAATGTAAATATTGGTTTTTGAATTTGATGAACGGTGTTGCCGTGGTTACTAAAAATAGAAATTTCTGTAAAATGCATTCAAAATACTACGTCTCCTACAGTTTTGGTCTGATTTGAATATATAACTTGGCACACAAGTAGACTACACCAAGATACATAATTCTATGTATCGGTTTTTGATTTCATGAACAGTGTTGCCATGGTTACTAAAAATAAATTTTTGTGAAATTCTTTCAAAATGCTACATATCCTACAGTTTTGGTCTGATTTCACTCTAACTTGGCAGTTGGCACACAAGTAGCATGAGTAGACTTCACTAAGATACACAATTCTGTATATCAGTTTTTGACTTCTATGAACATTATTGCCGTGCTGATGAGAAATAGAAATTTCTGTTAAATACTCTCAAAATGCTACTCCAAATACAGTTTTAGTCTGATTATAATATAATGTGGCATGCAAGTAAGACTACACTAAGAATATTAAGAGATTTAATCAAGGATCAATTCATATGTATTCTATTTATTACTGTTGTAAAGTTTCAATACCCAACTGCTTAAGTACTTTTCTCTTCCTTTGCTATGAGTACAAACCAGTAGAGCTTCAGTCTCTACAGAGACTTCTGGTTCTTTAGAGACTGATTATTACTGCTGCATGTTATCTTAGCTTTTAAATTCAGAACAGATAATGGTAAATATCCTTCAAGTTTAATTAACATAAGATAAAAATATTGAACATATGATAAAATTTCCCATTTTTGTAAAACACACATTTTGTACAAGGTATTGTTTGTACAGTTTGTTCATATGAAACCAGAATTGGTGATACAGTTGTAACAGGAAAGGAGAAAATGTATGGCTGGACCGGGAATCGAACCCGGGACCCCTGCATCTCTAGTCAGGTGCTCTACCAACTGAGCTATCCAGGCCGATATCCACGGCCCTAACCATTACATTCCTCCCTCCTTAAATGGTCTTCGCCCTCGAAGACACAACCCAAGTTCTTATTGCCCCTGGCAGGACTTTCACCTGCAATTCCAGGGGTGGTCAACGGCACCAGATCTGTAACAGGAAAGGAGAAAATGTATGGCTGGACCGGGAATCGAACCCGGGACCCCTGCATCTCTAGTCAGGTGCTCTACCGACTGAGCTATCCAGGCCAATATCCACGGCCAGAACCATCACATTCCTCCCTCCTTAAATGGTCTTCGCCCTCGAAGACACAACCCAGGCTCATCCCTGGCAGGTCTTTCACCTGTCAAATCCTGGTCACGGCACCAAATCTGTAACAGGAAAGGAGAAAATGCAGCGGACTGGACCGGGAATCGAACCCGGGACCCCTGCATCTCTAGTCAGGTGCTCTACCAACTGAGCTATCCAGGCCGATATCCACGGCCCTAACCATTACACAGTAAATGGAAGAGCCAACCTAAAAGCTGGTCAATGTTAGCGTGATTTTTGATTTTCGCTTATGCCGTTGCAGTTCCTCGGATTTTCAACAATTGTGACATCAAAATAATTAATAAAACGTATGCTTTAACCTTTTGACTCCCTTTCCATGTAATGGTGTTTTGAATCCCATAGATTCCCATTCATTTTACATGCAAAAACGTGTAATATAAATATTATGAGGTATATTACATTGTATTTTCATGATTGATTTGCATTAGGAATGTCAAAATTGTCAATCATTGATATTCGAGTATTCGATAGGAGTATTCGAATATATTCGAATATTAGATGAAATAAATATATCTTGCATTATAAAATATATATCTTCACTCTCTTTCCTTCAAGCAGTATAGGTTTTATGCCATTATTTTTGGAATACAAACTCAATGGACATGTAGAGTTTGGTAAATACACCGAAATTATATACTTTTATTTAAACTATCAAATATATGAAGAGTATACATCCAAAATGTAATTTTTATTTTGAAAATTCAAAGATTCTTAAGTATTTTCCAGATTAATTTATCGTCTTACTAAAGTCTACACTCATAACCCTACAAATTTATACCTTGCAGAACAATTATTAAACGGAGAAAAATTAAAAGCAATTACCTTTTGCTAATTAATTTCCTGATAATTATTTTATTGATATTTACATAAACAAGGGATCAATATGTTTACTGTAAAGCTGTATCCTAACAACTATACAAGCTGATTTTAAGTACTGGGCACTATTATACCACTAATCAAGTGAAGAAATGAGTTAATTACTCAAATATATACACTCTTCACACCTTTAACGTAATCCAAGAGGAGTCTTCTTTAAATTTTGTACAAATTTGATGCAATATCTAATAAAACTTGCAAGGGTTTTCTCTCTTTTAAATGATTGTACACTTAAAAACGAATATTCGAATCATAAATTTATATTCGAATATCAACTCATCGAATGAATATTCGAATATTCGAATATTCGTTGACATCCCTAATTTGCATGTATAAACTAAAATAAAATCAGCAGGTTTGACCAGTGAGTCTTGTAGTGATGATTTTTGGAAATGACTTGTCATTTTGTTGGAAATAGTACACCTAGTCGATGTAAGTATCCCTGATAGGCTTTATTTGGATGTATACCAAAAACTAAAAGTTGTGCCTCCCCTCTTAACTTGCTTGTTTGCACAAGGAACCACTATAATTTTCAAAGTATAGTGAATTGTATATGCTTGTTGTAACCTACATATGTTTACACCAACAAACAATTTTTGGGATAAAGCTATCTTTTAATATGGATGATTGTAAAAATTGTAACCATTCAGTGTAATTGCATTAACTGTCTAGGATTTATTCCACAGAGTGGTAAGTCTTTTAACAACATCCACTCTTCCCACGAAATACAAGCTATTGACTAGCTCTTGACGACTCACTGTCCGAAATTCTAGAGCTTTCTACATTTTTGTTTGAACAGACTTTGGATGGTTTATATCGATATTTCTCAGTTGCTGAGGTGACAAACCCAAGAATATTCCAATTTTATGGTAAGCGACTGCTGCATCTTCTACAATTTTGTTGATATCTTCCCTTCTAATTCCCCGCTGAGGAGAAGTAACAGGATAGTTCACGAAGTCTGTAAGTTCGATATGATTAATATTCTCCGCAATATCACATCTTCCTATCTGTTGGAGTACTTCAGTGAGCTTTTCCATGTACATAATATCAGGATTCAATTCCACCCATTTTACTAATATTTCGAAAACATCCCTCTCCAAATCTCGAATACCACAAGATTCCATTATGTTGTCATCTTCAAGAAGTTTGATGCTGAGCTCTATGGCCTGGAACTGTGTTTTGATCTTCATTGCAATCAAGTAGAATTTAAGATAGAGCTCTGAAATTGAGAATTATCCATTATGAAAAAAAGTCATTGTCAAATAAAGTACACAAAGTATGATTTAAGACCAAAAAATACCTCTTTTTCTTTTCATATCACTATCTTCCATTATTTCATTGACCTAGAATTAAATAAAATAAAATTTGAAAGCAAAATAAGGTATAGATAACGTGTATGAATAATAATTTAAAACAACTAGTACAAATGCCACGAAATGTAACAAATTTGATATTATGTATTTGTATGAAGTTTTGAACACATGGGTGAAATATTTAATCAGAGAAATTTCAACATTAACTATTTTATTTTGTAATTTAATATTATTTCAAATAAAAGGTAATTATCATTTTCCTATACATATATATCAGGCGCGTAGCTGCCTATACGCAAGTACGCAAGTGCGTACACATCATTTTCCAAAAAAGAAAGAAAGAAAGAGGGATAAAAGAAAAGAAGGAAAAAAAGAAAGAGAATTTTATTCGGGGAAAAGAGGCACTACCCATGTTTCAAATTATTTTGCGTCTTATTGTTTCGATTCAATTATTTTTTCAGCATGTCTGCACATTCAAATTTAGTCCTTTATAAAATTAATTCCAAAAACATCTTCAACATTCTTGAGGGAAAAGAATTGTTGAACCAAAATGTTCAACTGTTAATCCGCGTAATCATGATTATCCAGACAAATATTTGATAAGGAAAGCGATCTAAGGGACTTTGATCGAAAGAAAAAGTTACAAAGGTCTTGGACGACTATCCAAGATATTTAATGTCCGTAGAGGTAATGAATAAATGTCGTTAAACAATTTAAATTATGGCGAACAAAATAAATAATAATATAGCTTCTTTTACTGATGTTACCAATTTAAAGAATTATATTATAATTGAAGCATTCTCGAATCGTTTCAGCTATCAAATACATGTATGAAGGTAATCAAAAGACAACAACACCCCCGTTTATATTTTGTAATATCTAAACTCCAACTGATGATAACGATATTGAAATTGCTACTCTGTTTTATCTTGATACACTTGGAAACTTTTTTCTAATACCTATATGTGCCTAAATTAATTTGATAAATTATCGTTCTCTTCCCGAAGTATCAATGGAAGCAGTATAACTTATAGCTAAGTGTTTGCTCGAGAAAAGTGATATAATCGTGATTTCTTTTACGAGAAAATGACTGAAAATTTTCTTAAAATCCAGGAGCTTCCGGGGGCTTCGCCCCCTGGGCCCCCACCAGGCCTTTGCCCTGGACCCACTGGGGGCCTCAGGGCGGCCCCCAGACCCCCGACCGTTTTCTGAGTACACTTCATTTCCATGCTGGCTACGCGCCTGGATATAGCAAACTTGCTTCACTTTAAATATGTATGTTACAGTGTACAAGGCAATTAAAATCAATTCGGAAGAAATGTAACAGGCATTACAGTATTTTAATAACTGAAACATTTTCATGTATGTCATATTGCATGTATGTATTTCCTTCATCATAAAGCTTTGATTTTAAGTATATAAATCTTTAGTAAAGCAGCAAATTTATACTATTGATAACCAATAATTCTAACCATTAATGCTAAGTGTAATTGTGTACACTGTAAAAAAAGGCACGTACAATTCAGAGAATGTAAAATCAATGTAAAACGATTACATGATTACTTTTTACGAGTAACAACGTGAAAGGGCTACGCAGACAACGACGTGAAGAGAGAGAGAGAGAGAGAGAAAGAGAGAGAGAGACTTACATCAATCCAATATGATAACAATGCCCTTGAATTTATCATATGAGGTTGACCAACAGCACAATTTTTGCACAGAAATATGTCATTCTTCTCACAGGCTTTCAGTAACTGTTCCTTAGATATGCCCTTCAAAAGGAATTGATCGGTAATCGAGGATCGGTCGCACAGGAGGCCCTCTTTGAATTCAATATTTAAACCAAAGATAGTTTTCAACTCTTCGACCTCTTCTGAAACTTTCTTCAGTATTTCTCTTGAAATATTTTTGTCCAAATCGGTCTTTGACAAAACCTGGACCTGGATAGAGGTTTCGCACCTCCCAACGAGGACTATATGGGTATCCTCATGATGATAAAGAGCACATACAGTTTGGTAAATGCATTTCTGGTCCCCATTTGAAACGATTTCTCCAAGAGAATGATCTGCTAACACTTTTGACACCAGTCTATGGTACAAGATATCGGGGAGAAAATCCGCGATAAAGCAGTAAATAGAGGACTTTTTATAGTCCGCGAAGTACTTGGAAGGGAATCGAGATTTATTCATATACGGTACATACCATGTTTTCCTCACCAAGGCAGCATCAGTGATATTTACCATTAGTCCAATATGAGACATGTATTGAAAAAACATTTCTTTATCCTTTTCTTTCAAATCGTTTACTTCTTTTAAAATTTCTACGCACATCTCCTCATCCAACAATCCATTAACTGCAAATCTTTTCCATTTGTTTCCAAAACGTCTAGCTATCTTTCCACGAAACTGCACATCTGTTTTTATAATACATTTGAATAGCTCAAGGAAAAAGTCAATATCTAGTATAACAAAATTTCCCAAACCTTTATCTGAAAAGTGGATGATTTCTCCGATATCATGCTAAAATTTCAACATCCATATCAATTGTTTCCTATCAATTTGTAGCTTGTCTAATTTTGTGTCTAGTAAAGATGATATATCACGCAGAGAGATAATTTTCAATGATTCTTTTAAATCTTGCAAGAATTTCTCACATAGAGACCATTTTTGAGGTATTTTTTGCCCCCATGTGGCAAGTAATACTGATTGTTTTGCCAAGCAATTTTTAAGCTCAGCAATATTTCTATCATCGTTTAGAGTGACAGTAAATTTTCTGTCTTCGTTTAGATGTCCCTTGAGTTTCTCATTGTCAAATATATTCCAAACTTCAACAAAATATTCTTCAATATCCTGCAAAAAATAGATTTTTCAACATGAATATAGTCATTTTGAATATGTCCATAAATATATAAAACGTTTCTTTAGGAGTATATTGACTAAATGATAGAAAAGGTATTAGCCTTACCTGCTTTGTCTTGCCTTCTGCATGGGTTGCAACCAATACTACAGGGGCTGTTGGTGAATTTTTGTGAATTGAACTCATCCAGTATTTTAAAAAATCTATAAAAAAGAATTTAATTTCAATTTTCATAATTAAACTAGTATATCACTGAAATCTACTAACCACCTTTGCGGAAATATATCACATACATAATACATACATGTATCTTGTAAAATCTTATTCACAATTGCCTGCTTTCTATTATGTCAAATTAAATCAAACTTTACAGGTCAGCAAAATTTGAACACGAATATTTTTTGTGCAAACAATTGTGGTAATAACTCAACGACACAGTTTTTGAGACAACTTTTTAAATCCTTTCACAATTATTATATACTATTATCCAATAAACATGATAAATAAAGGTGAAAAGTAAGAAAGTTCCTGATTTTTACCCAACCGCTCATCTTTAATTGAAGGTCAAAATTACGACAAGTGGGGCAACATATTCATAAAACCCTAGATGCACTTTTTGATTCTGTTAAGTCTCATAGTTGCACGTGAGAAGTAATCCCACTTTCAATATTTCATCTTACCACTCATGCAGATAATCAAACATGTAAAACCCAGAGCAACATTGAAAATAACATTCAAAATACTTCAACCATGCAAAGTCGGTTCATAGAGGCACATATATATTATGTTTGAAAAGGAATTTCTTGACAACACTAATCTGGCAAATCATCCAGAAAAAAATGATTATATCAATTAGACATCAGACCGTATATCTTGAATCATTTAAATTGAATTTAATTGAATCAATCTTGAATTGGATTATTCCTCCATGCAAGGCTGGTTGAGGTACGTTTTGTTTCTTCTGGAAATGGGAGATCAAAACAAACTTTTACACAACAATGACCTAGCATCAATGCTGTATACATAAAATAATCTTTCCCGAAAGTCAACAAATAAGAGAACTGCATGAACTTAAAAGTATACATGTACATCATTCCAGATAAAATACTAGTAGTCATTTCCCCATTCTTTCAAATACATCATTACCCAACATCTTACAGAAAGATGCTTTTCGTCAAATTATTTCAAAATCTTTAAACTTTCAGGCTACTATTATATCTGAGCAATTGTGCCTTGAAAAAAATGAAAAACATTTCAAAACATCAGAATACCTTTGTTTGTCCATCCATTGAACATCATACTGTTTCCTACTGTCTTGGATGGAATATCATCGAACCTCTCTGCCATATTAAGGACAAGAATAAAGCCAGCTTGTGGACGTAGAAATATTTGATGGGAGGCATAATGTCGAGAGTTTTTCTGTTTGAATGCATGCTTTATCTTATTAGATAAAAATGGAAGAAGCTTATGAAGAGGATCACTATCAACCTCTGAGTAGCTGGTTACAGTGGTAGGAATCTCCTTTTCTTGAAAAGAATTTGGCTCTGCTGCTGCCTGTGCTTCAGATAAAACTGGTTTCATTCTGCTATTCTCTACATCTGAAGTCGTATGTATGATTCTTTGCCTTTCGGTTCTTGAATTCATGACTACATTATTTGCTTTGGGTGTAGCTTTTGATGATGGTGTAATCTGATGCATTACATGTTTGTTTATGGCATTCCCAGTCGATTGCCCTAACGTTATCCCAACGGGAGAAATGTTCTCATCTGTCACATCTACATGTATTGATAAAGAGAACATATTACACATGAAAGACAAAGATATATTTTATATACAAATAAAGTTCCTTTTTACATCGATCTTACCCTTGTTTTTTTTTAGATCGTTAAACTTGTCAAGATATCAAAAAGTCTTTTACTGCTTGTTATTCAGTTTTGCCAAAAACCTCTTATCTCTGGGTCACTAAGAAAACTGTTTTAACAAGTCTTTACACACATGTATTCCAGTATTTCCAACAATACTGCAAATTCTAGAAATACGCGAGGTATTATTGTTGCGTAATTTCACAAGAAGCACCATCCCAAAAATAAAATTACTGTTATAATAATACTGAAATACATGTAACTCTCCTGATCAACTTTCCACTCGCCAGTACATGTTCTCGCAATTTGACGTCTCCTAGTCATTTAGTAAATTACGTATTCGAGTATAAAAAAGGCATCTACAATGCATTCTGATATATTTTTCCAAATCATACAAAATAATCTTATCCAAATTTTGTTCATCTTAATCATGTTAATGTTAACTATAATATCCCTATCCAAACAAATTTCTTGACCAAATAAGAAAAAAGGTTGCTTGTTTCATGCTCATATAATCCATATACACGTATTAATTTATAAAGTGCTTGTGTTTTTTCCCCTAGGATATAAAAACATTTGTTTGGAAAGATAATGGGCTGAATATATATTTACCCTGAAGACTGTTTCCAGTAACCTCGAAAATTCGATTATGCATTTCTACCCCTTCTGTTGGGACTGTGTGTAATACTTCATCCATGCTTAAACCACGAATTTTCTTCAGCAGTGTGGTTTTTCCGACCCCAGCGCATCCTAAAATCATCCATCTAGCGTGGAAGATATCCTCCGTACCTTCCTGTATGCTTTGTAAAAAGGACTTTTTTTCCATCTTCATTCCAACTCAAGATCACTTCAGGTATTTTGACTAAATGCATGAACAAAATAGTCTATACAGAGCGTAGATATTATATTTTTGGCTTATAAAATCACAATATTAAGCGTATTTTATGGTGAAATGATTTCATCTGCATGCAATACTTACGAGTTTCAGAAACAGTTTTGTGGATTGATTTATCCTTGATCACCGGGTGTGAGAGGATGTCGTATTTCATTCTTTCTGCAAGTTTTCTTAGTTGATCATTACTGAGTGCAAATGCAGGTTTTGAGGTACTTTGAGAAGAGGTTACACAGTATTCACGCAATCCCTTATTACTGGCATGCTGAACAAAATATTCAACATAATTTTCCTTTGTTGATATAAACTGTATAACTTTGCCTGGAATTTGTTTAGACTTAAAAGCTAAATTCTGATTTTTGAAAAAGATATAATTTTCCAATTTATCACTCTCAAGTGTTTTACGAAGAATATAATCTGGCTTTTCCGGTTGTTGAAAATCAACATTAACGCGGTTCAATGTTTTCACCCAATCGTCGCTTTCAAGGCTAAACTGGTTGTTTTCCTCCATTAATAGAGCAAACAATACTAAAAGATGTTTCAATTCCATGTCTTGTAAACCTGTTAAATAGAGCAAATGAAAACAAACACAACGCTACGAGAGAGAGAGAGAGAGAGAGAGAGAGAGAGAGAGAGAGAGAGAGAGAGAGAGATTATATGTTAAATATCATTTTACAAAGAAGTAATTAATGTTAAGACAAATTTAAAAAGATTTAAAAAGGTGGTAAACTTTCCTCTTTTAATTGAGATATAATCATTAAACCACATATATATATCATTCTGATCATTGCGTAAAGATTATGGAATAAATAAAATCCATCACAGTCAATGGAATATTAATTGTTAATTGCAATTATAAAGGTAAATAATGAACATACAGTTTTTACCAAGTTCTTTGCTTTCTACGCTAGTAACTTCCTCCTATGACAAACAAATGTGAAAAGAATGAAAAGAATACAACAGAAAATTTATGCAAAGTTCAATTTCAAGACGAATAGTACATTCTTGCAATTTAAAAAAAGGTCTAAACTTTATAGCATCTTTAAAAGGGAATACAAAGGCTGAAATTGTTCCATTCAGTTTAAAATGGATACCGATTGACCACAGAATGGCCACTAAATAAATGGTCATTTAGTCTTTCAGTGATATTTACTGGTTTTTAATCTAATAAATTACTAAAAATCAAGAACATGTACGTTTAAGTGGTCTTTCAGTGAGATTTTAGTTACCCAAGTTTATCTGAAAAATTCAAAAATCAAAAAAATAATCCCGACATAGATTTTAATTACTATACAATTACAACTTCTTGCTATTGAAAGGGAACAATAATGATAAGTCTGTAGCAGTGTTATCTAAAACAGTCACCTAGCTGTTAATACCCAAACAAAAATTAATACCCACAGGTTCACATTTTTATAGACTCTTTCTACCCCTATAAAAATTAATGCCAAGGGATTAACGTATCTGTTGACTCTTTCTACCGATGGTGCACACATTTACAACCGACTTTTCGAAATTTAGCTATAAAGGTACATAAGTATATGTATATACTAACAATATCATATGCCATAAACTTTTTCTGACCATCCACATCTCTGGTTTTCATGGGAGCGGTTTTGTAGTGTGATTTGACATCATAATATTGATATCGTTTTAATTTTCTGATGATTTCTTCTTTTTTTGTGTAGTTTCCACTTAGATTTATTCGTACAGGTTTTACATAAAGATAATCTGTAGAAGCCTCAGCGTCGAAAATAATTTCTCTTGAAAGAAAAATCAGAAATCAAAGGAGTAGCATTAAGCTTAATATTTCCATGTATTTACTTGTAATTTTTATGGCACCCTTCCAAAAAATATTTCTTTTTATCTAGTGATCAATGGAATTAAAATTTGAGCTTTTAATTAGTACTTTTAATTTATAATTCATTCTTGTTCACATAATTGTCATTTTTTTTAATCAAGAGCCAGACAACATTATGAACAGATAGCTTACCCTTCAACATTTACTAAGTCATCATCCATAAGCCCTGCTAATGGAACAGCAAGTTCTTTGCAAATGTGTCCTACAATGTCCCATTCTGGACATGAGGGTCGTGGACAACATTCTATGGCGTTAGAATCTTCAGAATTATCTGGATTTCTTCGCAGACATATCTTGCTTCCAGTTGAAACAGAGTTCTTAAACAAAAGGGGGTATCATAAAAAAGCAGTGTATATTTCTGTAAGAATAATTGCTTTACGTTATACAAATAAAAAACATTAAATGAAAAATGCATTTTTTAAATAATTTCAAACTTTTTAATTTATGATTTACCTTTCCTTTGTAGTGTTGTATTCCTACTATGTATGTACGAATGACGCATATTCTTTGCAAGTTTTCTTTATCCCTGTTTGTTTCGTGTATGTTTTCTTTCTTTTGCCTATTGAATGGACTCGTTGTGCCCTAAACATAAGATATATTTTATATCCTACAAAATTATTTAATAAGAGGATGTTGGGAAAAATATTTACCTGCTTTTCACTCAGTGACCTGGTAGCCTCAACCTTCTTTCTCTTTCTAGGAAACATCTTGTCCTGAGAAAGAGAATACATGAAACTATAAGTATGAATAGAAAACTAAGAAATGTTAAAGGAAAAGGTAATGTACTCTAAAATCACATATTTTCGTGGATCAAATTTTCTTGTTTTGACGAAAAAAGATTGATTTATGGGGATATCGTGTATGGAGATCTGCTTGCGTGGTGGACATAAATTTGTGGGTCTCTTCGTACCTCGAAAGCAACGAAAATTTGTGATATCACAGTAAATATATCAGTGAAGCTTAAGGCCTTTTATTCTATCTTTTGAAGTTTTTCAACTTAAGAAAACAGTTGTAGGATAGTAAATTAAAGTTTCACAATGATGATTATGTTGAGTAAATGATGATGTAATGGTGAACAGTTGAGTTTTTCCACACGTCAAGTCACACCATCGTATTCCATGTCAAGATCTTCTTTTGAACAATTACATTAAATTACTCTGGCCTCTGAACAGTCCACATTCATCTGTTTTACTCACTGAACTAACAAAAATGAACATTCTTACTACAATTGCAAATTTAATAAGTTACTGTGTAAAGTCATGTTTACAAGGTCTGATTTGTGATTATAAGATCTGACCCACAACCACCGACATTCTTATTTGTTCAAATTGAACACAGCTGCTCATATTAGAAAATGAACATGTAGAATGCAATTGTCATTTTATATTGTTCTTCGTTGTTTAATTGTACCCCCCCCCCCCCCCCCAAGAGAATCGGTACATGTCTGACATTAATTATACAGTGCAAATGAAACATTACATTCCGTTCTTAAAAGTTAGAGAGTATGCGTGTAAACTTTAAAGAAAGCTGATTTTTGACTTCCACTTTGGAGAAACAGTGGCTTGATGCGTCATTTTTCAACATATATATTATATATCATTTTAAAGTTGCAATAAATACAAATTTAATATGCGATCAAAACTGTTTACACAAAATGTATATAGATGACAAGTAATGTTCCCCATTTACGAAATTAAGTTTTATGATTAACTTTTGCATCCGCTGTCAAACTAAAATCTTTAAGGGATTACTGCACTCAGTTAATCTGTTTAACGTTCTTTAAATTCTGCCTCCATTACTGTAACTCAATTTTTAAAATGTAAACCGATAATTTTTATCGACAGAGGCAATGTGAAAGTGTAAAGGACAGTTTGCTTACACAGAAACAGTTAACTTGACATTCAACAATTAAGTCTTTTTCTCTCATATTTTCTCATATTCATTGGACCCCAATATCACTCCAATTTTGAGATTTGTTATATTCAGTCCGAATGTTTTGAAAAAATCAAATAAAATCAATAGCATCAACTCGATCATACGACTTTTTAATAATCACCATGTTGTTGTATTCAACAACGTATCCCAACTTTAATGTTTTAGAGGACAACGTATCCCAACTTTAATGTTTTTAGAGGTCTGTGATACCCTCTGCATCCCAACTTGTTAAAATGGAGGGGTCTTAACCAAATCACGTCCCTATAAGTTAAATCAACAAGAGTCATCATTACTAGTAAGCATATAAATTTGCAAGTTTTAATTAAATAACATAAATACTTTGAGCTGTTTATTCACCTATTGCTGTTAGCATGCTGGAACAGTACAGTTTTACCTGAAACGTCTGTGAATATTCATATTTATATCATAATGATTGATCTTACGTTGAGAATGTTAATTTTTTCTTTCGCTGTATTTTCTGTAGTAAACACTGCGTCTCAATGTGTGTTTATGCACATGCACTCTAACTGCAAGTGCAATCTATATATAGAATCTTATCTTAAAATAAACATTGGGACTTTCTGACTAAAAATAGAATTTAGCATGTTGTTTACTAGTGCTATCTGTGTAAGGGATGAGCCAGCTGTTTTACATACTTCATACTATCTCAACAACCACTTGGGGAGCATGTAACTTAAATGAGCATTCTTTTATTAGGGCAAAGGTTTTTAGCGATTTTTTTTTTAAAAAGTTTATTTTTTAATCATAGAAAAAGGTGTTTTGATCTGAATATGTTTAAAATTTTTCTAATAATACCAATTATGCATTCTTAAAAAAAAAAGAAATTTTTATTGATGATACTTGATCTAGATCTAAATTTTCTCGATTTTTAGCATAATAATAAATCTACCGTTTTAGAAAGTTTATAGTGCATAACTTTGTATTCGATATGAAATTTTCTCCTTATGATTATTTCCCTGTGCCATAGGGTGAAGAATGTCCCAAAATGATGTTATTATATCCATACATAAATTGTTTATTATAAAGATATTCTGTCCAAATACAGCATGTCTTTTCAGCAAGATAAGATGCAATGAAATTATTTTGATAAATTTTGTAATTTGATTAAATATAGTACACTTTCAAATAAATAATATTAAAAATAATTATTCCTCATTCTGTCAATTATGATTATATTTTTAAAAATGAAATTATTTTTTGAATGTGAAATATGGAATAGTAAACCATAGTCAAATTCAAACATGGAAGTCCATGGCAACATTACAAATTTAGATTAGAGCAAACACAGACCTCCAAAAATACAGGGGTGGGATCAGATGCCATGGACGAGTTAGTATCTCCTGTCGACCGGTCACACCCGCCGTGTGGTCCTTGTCATTCAGTGTTTACCAAATAATGGCCTAATCAATAGTATGAAAAACGTCGGTCAGGATTCTACTTAATGATAGATTTTTTTGCTGACAATGTCTTTGTATCGTCCCGCGAAGTTGCAGGATGTTGACTTCAAACGAGACAACTGATATCCTTTTTGCTTTCACTTGTTTGTAAATAGCTTGCCTCGTTTTGAAATAGTAAGTACATAGAGCCTCTCCTCTTGCAAATCCACAGAGAGACATAAATTCCATCTGCAGGTGTTAAAGGAAGTTGAAAATAGAAAAAGATGAAATCATCACGTTTATCAAACTAATCTTTGTCTAGTTACCATTAATGTCTTTTTTTTTTTGCAAAATATCTAACAATAAACACACTCTATGAACTCTTTCATTTCCAATTCATTAGTCTATATCGAATTACTATATCAATGGAAATAACTATTGTTAATTGACAATACTTCGTTGATCTAAATGACGAGTAGAATGCCATAGTAATTGTTCTCTCCTTCTCATATATAATTAAAAAGAAATCATCTCCGCATGAACATTATAATCTGATTTTTTATCTTATCAAAAGTTTCTGGTGTGTGTGTTTGGGGGCTCTTTTAATTATATAGTGAAAATGCATTAATTCTTCAAAAATATTCTCCTCTGCTCATGGGTATTAAATTAACTATCTAAGTATATAGTTATAATAAGGAAGAGTGCCTCAACCAAACCAAATTTGTGAATTTCATGGCCCATGCATCAGAGGTTTTGGTGTTTAGGTCTCTTTCGATTATATAGTGAAAGTACATTAATTCTTCGAAAATCTTCTTTGCTCCTTGGTATTAAACAAACGCAAACAAACTAAGTATATAGTTATGATGAGCAAAAATGCTTCTTCCAAAATTGTGAATTTTGTAGTCTCTGGGTTGGGGGTTGTGATGTTAGCGCAAGGCTCTATTGATTATTTAGCGAAAATACATTGATTCTTTAAAAATCTTCTTTGCTGCACCTGGGTAATAAACCAAAAAACTATGTCATTGGTTATGATGAGGAAGGATGTTTATTCCAAACGTTTATGGCCCCTGAGCCAGGGGTTTTGGTGTTAGGGCGGGGCTCTAATGATTATATAGTCAAAATGCATGAATTCTTTGAAAATCTTTTCCATGGCTTCTGGGTATTATGCCAATGATCTTAGTATATATATTTTTGATGAAGAGAGGTGCATCTAGCAAAGTGGTTAATTTCATGCCCCCTGGGTCAGGGGTATCGAGGGAGGAGGGCATAGTCTGAAAATAAATTAATGCTTTGAAATCTGCTCTTTGGTATTAATCAATCATTAATGATGAAATTAGATTTATAAAATTTCCAAAATTTTGAAATATGTTGCCCCAGGGTCAGTGGTTCCTGTGGAGTAGGGTGCACAACTGGTTATAAAGTTGAAATTTTCTCTTTGTTACTCTGATCAACATCTGGGTATTAAATAACTAGAGTAAGCATGATAAGTACTAGTATATGATTATGATAAGCGATGCTTCAATGGTGCCTCTTTCAAAATTGTGAATTTCATGACCTCTGGTTTAAAACATGAACAAAATTCAATTGTTGGAAAGTTGTAACTTGCTACTCAGCTGACCTATATGACCAGTGGGCCTCTTGTATTAATGAAGCAGATGTTTATGATAAAAAAACTGGGAAAACATGATCGACATAAATCAACCTATGTTATGTTAATACAAGTCAAATTACATGGAGATTACCTGTGAACATGAAGAGTACTTGTGTAAAGTTATAGCAAATGTGGGGCTTTAAAAATGATAGCCTATATACGGATGATATATACATGTACGCACTGGAAATGTGATACAAAGGATTATTCTAGAGTTTGATTATTACTTGAAATAATTGCAATTACAAAAAAATCCCATCTTGATTGTTGATATTTTGTCAACAGGATTTGGAATATAAAGTGTCTCTTGATCAACTGTGCATTCTTTTAATTTAAATGCGAATCAATTATTCGTAAGGTGAATCACTCAATAAACAAAAATATGGCACGAACTCTCACGCAAAGCTAAAAAGATGATATTTATGTCACACCAGTTGCGTGGGTTAGATAAAAAATCCCCTGAAAGTTCAAAAAGATAACCGCGTAACAAATACATGATATATGCACAATGTATTATATAACGAAGAAAAGATAAAGTTCTCACCTAAAAATTCAGTTCAAAAATTGTGAAACAGTACATTACTTTTAAGTAGATATGAATGTAAACTTGATGAACGATAAACAGCCATGATTGTTTTAGCGGCAAGAGTTAATTTGAATAATAAATGAGAGAATCTATTGACCGAAATTTTATTCCGGATTCTTCTGAACTTCGTTCTTTAAATTTAAAAATTTTAATTATCAAATGTTCTTTCGATTACTTGAGTCTTGAAGAAAGCGTCTGATTTACTTAGTATTTCATTTTTGATTTATTTTTACATTTTGCAATTCAATAATTTAAAAATATCCTTAAAATAAGGTTTATTTTCAAATAAAGCGATTTATTTTAAAAATTTCATGTAATTATGTATTTTTGTGGATGTCAATGTGTTTATCTTTTTGTAATTTTACAAAACCTTTAATTTGTAAACCTGGTTCTTTCAGTGACCCAGTTTTACCGCGTCCATAAATTTTGTCAAAGCCTTAGCTGTTTTCAGCCAATCAGATTGCCGCACAAGGCTTTTTTTTATATACTTCTTGTTTACTCGGAGTGCTGCCGCGTAATTTTTGTGAACAAAAAAGCAACCACCACCTCCACTCCATCCACCACATTTGTTTAATTAACCACATAATTTTTATTTGTGTGTCCTGAGGCGCTTTTTATGCACCACTTTTGTTTCCAATAAAGTTTGATGTTGTATTTTACCGCATTATCACATATGTATGTTGTAACAATATTGTGCCTGGGAGACCACTGTTTTGTAATCATTTATTGAATTGCATTTATGGTCAAGCTTTCCATGATTCTGTTATGTCTCCCAGCCAAATTCTTTAGTAATTGTTTTTATAAATGGATTTCATTTTTTGTCATTTAAATAAATGACAAGATTTTTACACTTAACATGTCTTCTGTTATGTATTTTGGAAACAACAGAGCTGCGATGTTGCCTTGGTCTGCCAGTAAAGTTTTAACATAAAAAAGTTTGCAGGATTTCGAGTTCAAATTCATTAATTTCCACGCATTAAATAAATTGTTGGCTGGTAGGAACATGGTATGGACTAATAAAAAAAATCTTGGTCACGGAATAAAATATCGAGAGAAAAAAACAACCAAATAACCCCCAACAGAATATATTTATTGACTCCAATGTAATTACATGTACAATAACTGATTAATCATACAATTGTGTATTCCTTTGTGTATTTTATCTGAGTGCAACAGCTGCGGCATTAATTTCCAAACAAACAACCAAAGAAAGCATTTTTTGTTTAAATTTTGTATAATTTGAAGTCATTGTTAAGGGAATTCATCTAATTGACTACTTAAAATGAGTGAAAATTAAATTAAAAGGAATACATATAAAAGCTACCCAATTTTATTGTTTAAACAGGGTTACAATATTAATATACACTTTTAAAAAAAAGTAAACTGCCTCAACCCACTTTATACCGTATAAATTGGGTAGCTATTATATTCATCCTTAATTGAAACGAATCATTTAATTTTGAATATTAGACACATTTGATATGTTTCTTCCGTAAAGCCTTCGCCATGCGCTAGGTACTTTGAAGTGAAAGTTGCGGGTCCTTCGGATGAGACCTTAAAAACCGAGGCCCCGTGTCAGCGACAGGCGTTGGCACGATAAAGATCGCTCACTGCTCAATAGCCCTGAGTGCCGAGTAAAGATCAAAATTTGAAGCCCTTCACCGGCATATGGTGACGTCTCCATATGAGTGAAAAATTTTCGAGAGGGACGTTAAACAATATACAATCAATCAATCAATCTTCCTTAAAGACAATCCCCGGGGTTTCTTTGAAAAACGACCCTATGATTATTGTATTTTTTGACAACTGAACAGACAATGAAATTCATCTTCAAACGTTCCTGTGTTACAAATATTGCATAATGAATAGTTTATCCATTGATAGAGACAAGTGTCTTCCTTTTTCTGTGGCACGATTATGTGAACTTTGTCTCAATCTGCTAATATTTTAATCTCAATGTTGTCTGAGCATATCAGTGTAACGTTTTAAAGTATCAAAAATAACTTTGTTTACCGCTTTGTAGACATTCATGTGTAATTATGAATATACATGTTTATACAATGGATAATTTGACATTTAAAAAAGTTGACGCCCTCTGTGGAAAAGACTATTTTCATGTTTAAAATTCGGGTCCAATCATATTACTTTTTAGAGATTCAATACAAAGCCACTTAAAATCTATAAAGCACAAACTATTGGAATAAGATTTTTTTTTTTCATTTTCAACATTCATTAAAAGGAAATTCAATAAAAGTGCTTCTGAGACATATAAAACAAAGGATATCATTTTAATGATTACAAAAAAGTATGTACAAAACTTAATAATTCAACAAAACCAAAATTTTATCAAGGATATTTTTAAATACACACAAACATTCATACAACCACTCACACATATCAGATTAAACCTACATTGTCCGGAAGGAATTTTAAGGCTGCTTTAGAGATGGCAGGAAAGAATTCATCAACTGTTCACATAAAATACAGTTATCAAAAACAAGCATAAAACATTCAATAATATTCAAACTGGCTTTAAACAAAAACAAAACAAACCTGTCGAACGGATTAAAACATTAGTTTAGATTTATTAAATGATAGACTTCTCTGATTGTTATATTTCATTCTCAAATTATTTAATAGACCAAATAGTTTATATATATATATATATATATATATATATATATATATATATATATATATATATATATATATATATATATATATATATATATATATATATATATATATATATATATCCAAAGTCTCTTTTTGTCAATATAATAAAAAACTTTAAAACACTTTTCGAAATATTTCAAGTGTTTTTGATGTTGGATATGTTGAATTCTCCTCTTGTGCTTAAAATTTAACTATTAACATTTCTTATGTACTCAAATCAAAAATTTTTAGATGAAAAAAAGTGTTAATTTCAACATTTCATAATTTTTTTTACTGTGATCAATTCTTTTTGCTTTTTATGTGATCTCAACTACCCTCAACCACTACCCGAGTAAATCCTTATGGAGTAGGATTAATTCTTTAAATTATTTATAATATAATTATTAATTGAATAAATTAGAATTTCCTTTGAAATCAAAACCTGTGCAGCTTATCTGACCTGAAATATATAAAGTCAGACCTCGTTATCCCGAATTTGATGTGATTGAGGTAAAAGAATTCGAGGTACCGAGTTTAAAATAAATAAAAAAAGAGGTGGGGTTCCCAACAGGAGTGGGTTCGATTACTTTAAAAAATAATCAATTAAAATACGATAACATAAGATTTTTAAAAAGTATATATGTAATCGATTACAAGCTGATAACTAATTTTTAAAATAAAACTTTATCAATTGCATCTGATCATTTTTCCATCATGTAATCATGATTACTTCTGATTACTTAAGATTAAACATTAATTTTAAAAAAATTCATGAGATGTTTAAAATTTCCTGAAATCATCGGATTTAATCTTTAGTGTTATATATATACAGTGATATATCTGTGTTATTGTTGAGAAAAAAAAAGAAAACAAGCAATTTATAAAATAAATTGGACATGATAAAGGGATTCAACAGAGAACTGTCAAATGAGTAATTTACCATGAGTGATGAGCTTTCAATTTAAGTACCAATTATTAGATATTTTTATTAGAATTAACACATCGACTTGACAAGCATGGATATTTCAATAATTGTTTTAACCAAGCTGACCCAATTTTTAGTACACACGTGTGTTTTATTATTAATTAATTTATATTTATTTGCTTTGCACACTTTGAATTAAACAAATATTTAAAAAAAAAAGTACACGTACCTCAAATCACTTGACTCGATACTAATCTATTGTCTCGGTGATGTGATATATACGAGGTTTAAGATTTTGATTGTAGATCAATTAGCTGCAAATCCGCCATTATCAGGAATCTATGTGCACATTTGTTATACAGATTATCAAATTATTTAGGAGATGAGCATATCACCAAGATTTGTACTGTGTTTAATAACACAATAATTTATTCTGGGAAAATTATATTGCCTGACTTAGAACCTATCGCATATTCAATTATTTGTTTAAACATTTGCATGGAATTCGAATATATTTATTTTCTAGGATAAATCTAAGTAAACGATTTAGGTCTGCCGAAGGCTGTGTTTAAACTGAGAATTTCTCTGTAAGCCGTATCAACAGAAGCCATTAGCTTCTCCAATTGCAAATTTGTGTGAAGTGATGTTACATCACAGCTGACCAGCTAAGATATGATATAAAATAAATATGAGGTCTATTATAACCGAATCAGTACAAGCATTGTTAACATTGTAGTATGACAAGAACTTACTATTTGCATTATTTATTTTACAATCATTAAGTAAACAAATATTTTTTGTTCAACAATATATACTATCTAAACGCAATAAACAAGCATCTTACAGTATATTATTAAATGCAGTAGAACTTTGGATCCATAAATTGTAAAAGGCTGACACATTTGGAAACATAAATGTATAAAAGAAGTTTCCATTCTTTATATACTATAAAGATCAAGGTCATCTCAAGAGGTCAAAGGTCAATTAATGTGATGTCATCTACTGAATCTTTCAGTTTTTTGCCATTGAAATTTTTCTAATCGCCAAAAGATTTGAAACCACTTGTTCAATTTTCTTTATTTTTACACATTTTATTCTGGGGCCCATTTGAATCATTCTGTTGATTTTTTTTTTAAATTTGGATTATAAATTTTCTCGTAAGATAACTTAAAGTGTAGGATAATTAGATGTGAATTTTCAATTCCAAAGCTATGTATGTTCTATTTTTACGTAATATTTTACTCAATTTTTCCAGTATCAATATATCTTACTGAGTTTAAGTAACAAAAAGATAACCTCTATAAACTGTATCATGCAAATTTGCAATAGTTCAATTGATAATTTTAAAACTTAGTCATTCTAAAGTCGAATGTTTGATTTCACAATCTTCTTACGGGAGTCTGATGTTATATATTTCAAACTGTGTTGGCAAAAAATATCTGGTTGAATTTTTTTCATATCATATGTAAATTAAAGAGAGAATTCTTATCCGAGAACAAAATTGTTTCAGAAAAAATAAATTTAGGGAAAAATTAGCCTATCTATTGAGTCCAACCTTAATTTATTATGTCTATCTACGAGCACTTTTCATAACAATGAAAGTGAGGTACCCTTTGTTGAAAAAGAAATATGAAATCTTATTAGTTATACCTTTTCAAAATTTATTCACAAGATTTAAACGTATTCTGCATATTGTTTTGAAATTATGAAAAAAAAAATTATATCGTTGACTTCGAATTTTGTAGCCTCGATTTTTCAGATGCATGTATACAATCCAATTTCTTTCTCGTTCATAAACTGTAACAAGGGGACCAAGTTAAAATCCACCATTAGTTTAAAATTATACAATATTTGTAAGAAAAAGATATAAATTCTATACGTTTCTGTTTCAAAGTCAGTAGGTTATAGATTATACAATTATTTTCTTGTTTAGAACAGATGTACCGCAGTAGTACTTCATACATACTACATGTGCTAAGTATAATGAATCTTAATTAAACATTTCCATTTAGCAAGAAAAAAAATACATGCTACTGTACATCTTAACTAATTAAATTATTGTAATTAAAAAAGTCTTTCCTATACATATATACACATATTGATTATTTTTTCTGGGACTATTTCAGTTTGAAACATTGAAAGCTTGAATTATCTTAAGCTACTAATCTTTCGAACTGCAGTAAATTATTTGATGATAGAGTGCAAATACATTAAACTAATAACAACCTTTGATAAATATTTACCATATTTCACAACCATCTAGCTACATAATATGCATATAGCAAGCTAAGAGTAAACATTCTCTTGAAACAACGCGTTGAAATTTGACAGAATTATTTTGTACAACTTTCACGCAAAGTGAAAATCTTGATTTAAAAAAAAAGGAACACAAAAGCAAAACAAAATATCCAGATATATATAGACGGATTTACAAGATTATATTTAGATAAAGAATTTCTTCTGCAAATGTAGAAATTATGCAGGCGTGATGATGGACAAGCAAGTTTATAAATTTCATAAAGAAATGGAATGCATTAATTACAATAATTAACAATAGTTACGAGATAATGTAAAACAATTACTAATTCATTGATTAACTATATACTATCGAGATGGAATTATTAAAAAAAACCAAACTTCTCATTTTCCGAAGTGCAGTCTTACAAAACCACAACCACAAGGAGATCGGCTGCTGATGCGGCTGATGATAAACGAATCTAACTAACATGTAGAAAAGTAGCTTGGGAAACAGTTGCCATTTACAATGTACATGCAACTATGTACAACAAGGCTTGCGTTTCTATTTTGATTCACAAAAAGCACTAAGTATATAATACCAACGTTTTATGGTATATGAAATCCCTGTATCCAGCCTTTGCACGTTGATTAAGATTTTAAAGCTTTTTTTCCCAATTTCCTTTTAGTTTTTCTATAATATCCAACCTTTCAATATAATTCAACGCGCAACACAACTTTTTTCTGTTTAGAATACTCTCATCCACAAGCCTCTCCAAGGAACATATAAGGATTTGACAAGGGTTTATAGAGGATTGTTCTATTGTTTCCCTGATTGACTCCTTTAATCCCAAAAAGCGTAATAATCTATTCTGATCTCTAGTTACTTGCTTACCAATCTGTTTGCACTCAGACTTAGTAATAGGTTCTAAAGGTCTATACACACTTTGGTATGCATATTTTTCTCTCGTTATATTTTCAATTTCTTCTGCAAAGTGTGCATTATCATTTTTTTTTAGATGCTCTTGTAAGACACTGATATGGTTTAGACGAGGACTTCGCCTTCTCCATTTGAGAAGAATTTGGAAGACCTGTTCCGGTAAAGCGAGATTCCCCCGGAGAGTGTCTGCATAATGGCTTTCTCCCAGAAGGTCTAAACATATCATATCTGTATCTTTGAGCTTGGGCGAAATGAAATCAAATACGAAGTTTGTACCTAAAAAATATAATGTTGACCAGTTATTTATCTATAACCTTCGAAAGTAAAAATAATTGCCCGCTCGCATGTTTTATTATATTAACATACCGTCTTCCTCCAAGACAGGTTCCATTTCCTCATCATCTGTGTCATCCAACTAAAATTAGAAATGAATGGAAATGTATTGCATTGTCACACGACTGAAATCATGTTTGTAATTGGATAACTATTAAAAATGTACAAGGTAATTTTGATGAGAAGAAGAACAGGCTTTTATATCACCTAAAATATTAAGGCGCTAGCTGGCTCTAAATCAAAACAATTAGTCGCCAAAATTAGTTGCATATTTTGAGTCTTTAGGCAAATTTCATCTTTGGCGCCAATAAAAATACTGATATTAGTCGAATGATTCTTTTTTGCTCTTAAAAATACTGAAAATGATTATAGTTCATTAATTAATGAGAAATTTTAGGCCCCAATTAAAATTTTTTGAGCGCCTTGTCAACTAAATTAGACGCCAATTTGAGGCCTGATCATTTAGCAAACTGAATATAAAAAAAAATCATGAATCCTTTTCAGTATGTTTGGTTTGTGTTCTTTTCCATTTATCTTTACTGTTTTACCTTTTCCCAGTCTGAAAGCAATTTTACACCATCAATAATTTCTTTTTCCTCCAGGGAGCAAGTTCTGCAGTGACCACTGTAAAATTCTATGTCTTTGTCACGTATAAAGCATACATTAGTTTCGACACAAAAAGTACTTGTCTTACATTTGAATCCAGAAATGATCGTTAAACTGGGATGTACAACTTTTGCAATGTCTTTGAGGCTTGACCTGATGGCGTCTTTGACTTCGATATTGACATTTACTTCCGCATTGATTGGACTCCTCCTAAAGATTTGAATCTGTATAGTATTGTTGCTACATCCAATGGCTATGAATCGATGACGATGCTCAAAGATGACAACATTCTGATATATACACCCCCTCTTCTTCTCTATTGTTATTGGCCACAGCTTATTAGCACAGTGTGTCACAAGTCTTTGGAAAACATGGAGAGAAGAAACAGGGAGTTGAAAACAAAGTATGGAAGATTTTTCATAGCTGTTGAAAAAATCAGGTGTAAACGGAACAGTGTTCATGCATGGTACCACTAAAATTGATCTTTCGCTATTTGATTCTTCATTCACTTTTACTTCTGTAATGAAGCACAATTCTTTCATATATGAGAGTAGTTCCACCTTGTGTAATAAAAATGTTACGCTTTGTTTTTGCTTCCAAATTTCGTCAAGGAGACGATGTGATAGCTCACCATTTTCTTGTAACAATTTCCATTGTGTAAAAAAATTTCTTGTAATTGTTTTATTGAAGCTGCTTCTGACGGTTATGATGCGTTTAAAAGCATCGATGAGAAAGTTTACATCCAGGAAAACAGAGTCCCTGAGATTTTCTGTGTCAAAATACAATATTCTTCCAATTTCGTGAAAGAATGATAACATAAAGATGATGCCTTTTCTATTCAATCTAGTATTTGTGGGAAAATTATCCTGCAGTTTTTCAACATCTTCAATTTTCATAATTTTTTTCTCCTTTCTTATTTCAATGAATTTTCTTTCGAAAAGACTCCATATGTTAGGAACTAAACGATTCCAATTTGAATGTTCTTTTGCTATTTTCTTTATGCAATCCTTTATTTCGTTTACATTGCTATTGTCGTCAAATGACACTGAAAATTCTCTCTCCGAACGTACATTTTCCAAAAGATTTCCCATTTTGCTTCTGAGGTTCATAAAGTATTCCTCGATATCCTAAAATTATATAACACAGCATAGATGAATATAATACATGAACAATAAAATCAATCCATAATGTCGGTCGGCACTAAAACTAAAAACACATATAACGTAGTTCATAAAAAAATAAATGTACTTTCCCTAGATGTTCCATACAACATATAAATTTTCCTTGTTATTCTTATACACTGCCTTCCTTCTATCAAACTGCATTGTTGTATTTAGGGCTTAATGTATAAAAATATAAAGGAAGGATGAACTTGGGATTGACATTTTCAGTTTATTTTATAAACTAACTCACCTCTTCTGATTTATTTTCAGCATGAGTCGCCACTAAAATGATTGATGGTGTTTCATCCCCGGAGAAAGCATATATGTATTGCAACCAGAATTTCAAGTACTCTACAACATTATTTCAGTCATAAAATTAAGCAGTTCTTTACAAAATGCAATTTTGAAAATTGCAGAAAAAATAATATTTTTTCAAATGAGAATTGAGAACTAATTTCTGAATTGTTTCTTTTTGTCAGCATGCTTGATATATCTGTTAGTCTGTTGATTAAAGGTTGAAGTATCGACGAGTAAATTAATTATGGAGAATATTAAAAGTTTGTAATTTACATTTTAATTCTTCTTAGAATTTCACATGTTCCAATTATGCATATAATGACAGGTATTACAGAAAGCACGAGTTAAAAAAATTTATTTTTGAAAAGAATTATACGAGTACATAGTCTCCGATCTATCTCGTACTTTTTCTTCAATTGGGCCAAATGGAATACTTATTTGAGGACATATGCTTATATTTGTCTTCTACAAGAGCTTGGAAGTCTCTAACAATTACAAAATACAGTCAATTCTCGAATTATAAAAGAATTAATAACTTGTTGTTTAAAATAAATTAGCTTCCCCTATTCCTATGCAGCTTAACCAAAAATGAAGGGATGCTTTGCCAGATATTAAACAAAACCATCATTTTAAACCCCAAGTGGAAAAAAAATTCCAAAATTTGAATGCACACCTACAGGACGCCAAATATCATCTTCTAAAGGTGATAAGGCTACTTCCTAGAATCTTGGAAACCATTTAAAATTTTTTTTTATGAAAAGCGTCTTTTTGTGGTCCACGCTTTGCTTCCACGGGGTAGTATTTAAAATGCCAAAATTTTATTGCACATGTAAAGGACACGACCTATCATATTCTAAAAGATAAATTGGTAACTGCTTTTAAAAAAAGAGTTTGAGGAAGAAAAAATGTGACAATCGGACGGACGGACGGACAGACCAGGGCCACAACAATATACCCTTTATATACTGTAGACGTAATTTTTTTCCACGGGGTCATATAATTCCGAGGAATCTCAATTTCCGTTTATTCCGAAAATTACGCAGATTTCTCATTGCATTTATATTAACTACGCTTGTACAAATTTCCGCGGAAATTTTGTGACCGCGTACATAGAGTAAATTGATACAACGCTGAAAAAAGTACTTCTACAGTATTTCTTTAGAAAGTGCGGGTATTAAATTACTTTCATTTGTCCAGCCCCTAAACATCATATCTCCCCTTTGGTCCTCCACCACATCCTGAAAATCTCTACTCATATCCATCACTAAGATATAAAAGGCACTTCGTCGTAAATATATATGGTGAGTTGCGTAGTACTCGTATTGCCCGGCAAAATCGTAAAAGTCAATCGTTTGAAACAAATCTGCCTCCTTGCGTGTTATTGCAGGAATTAGATGAAGGAAATTAGGATCTTTATTTTTTTCTGCTTTTTGGCTATTATTCCTCGATGATAATGTACCCCTAAGTGCAGGTACATCTGTACTTGTTTTAATGGGTGTTTTATTTGCCGATGTTTGGCAGTTACTTTTCCTCTCAGGATTTTCCTGTCTTCTCTGCATTTTAATTTCAAAATTTGGGCTGATAGGTTGACTTTTTCGCTTCATTGCTCTCTTTATATTATCTTTTGCTACGTTCGTTACTTTTAGACTGGAAACATCTACTGTGACAGTTTCCTTGGTTTTCAAGTTTAAATCTGTATAAAAAGTATATGACATATGAATAAGAATGCAATAATGCGACACATTTTATATATAGTAAAGAGTTCCCAATCAGTCATGTTCTAACTAATATTGCATTTCAATAAAATATTTTTACGAGAGTTATGTCACTTTTAACCTCTAAGAGTTGTTGCATCAGTTTTATGAATTTCCACACTTTGTGTTGATTTTGTCGACGCCCTAATGTCCCTAATGCTTTGCTCTGTTATTAGTCTTTTTAGCAATGTTGTCTTGCCGACACCCTTGCATCCTAAAATTAGTCCTTGTGCATGGCATATCTCGCTCTTTTCCATTTGAAGAAGTTTTAGGAATGCTGGGTATCCATTTCTACCCAGAGAAAGGACTTCTAAAGGAATATTCACTAGGATTCAAAGAAACAAAAATGGTTTATGATTTCACAGTGCAAGTTAAACCAAACAATATAAAGGTCACTACTTTTCATTTTTTAATGCTAAAATCTTACTAATATTATTTCATTTTATATCTAATTTGTTATTAGTGTCCTTTATGTATTTTGTTTAACATACGTTTCAACGCTACTTCTTTATGTATAGAGGAGTCTTCTATGGTTGGATGAATCAGAATTTCTAAACCAAGGCGTTGAATTAACAATTCTTTGTCCTCTAAACTCACTCGAAGAATTGCTTCCCCTTGTTTTGATGTGTACCCTTTAGTCCTACAATATTCTTTCACGCAGCAAATATCAGCGTTTTTCAAAAAGTAGCTGATGAATTTCTTAGAACAAACTGATTGTACTAGTCGATCTCGTTCTTTTTTTGATATAAAAGTCACTATGTCTTCTTTGCTTACAGTCAAATATTCATTCAGCGGCCATTTTATCAAAGAAGTACTTCCCAGTTTTGAAGATAAAATCCTTTGAACTTGACGTAAATGTTTTTCCCAGATATCCCCATTTTCTGCTGATGTATAGTTCTTCATCAACAACAAGGAATACAAAAGAGGTTTTGTTTCGTTATTCAAGCCATCTAATAGAAAATAGAAAAAAATGTAATTAACTTGGAATAAAAAAAAATATATAAGAAGCATCTCATAGCGGTTCTTGTACATTTGCTATCAAGAATAAAGCAACAGATTCTGATGTCATCGATTAATTACGGTATATCAATTTAAAACAAAACAAAAGAAAAAAAGCAGGAACAACAAGAATAAAAAAAATCAACAATAAATGTATTTGACTGTTAGTAGCTTTATATATAGACACCTGACTATATTATCTATAGAAACTTTGATATACTTGTAGCTTTCATATAAATAGTAACCTGCAAAAGGTATCAGAAATAGATTTAGACTTACATTAAACGTTTGATCATCTATAAAATGTTTATTACTTTTGAACTGAATCTTTTAATTTGCATATAACGGTAGTCTATTAATGATGTATTAAAAATCATTTCAGTTTTCAACTGCTTGATTTCTAACTCATTTCGACACAACGTACATTTTATTCTTAAAATGTTTCCTGATTTTTTTTTCATACCCAGTCTCCTGAATCTTGATAAATTTCAAGACACAAATTGGAGACTTGCCTAGTGCGTCTGAAATATAAAACTAGCAAGCTAAGTGTACTCTTAGCACTGAGCTCACAAAATGATATCTCCGCTCCAACATAAGTATTTTGCTCATTTTTTGGCAGTATGTAAATTGATACCCGATAAAAACTGAAAATGGCATTATCAAATAGATTCTATCAAATTTACATTAAATGCTATTTACTCATTTAGGAGGATTTGCTAATAAGATACTGGTAGCGTTTGAATCATTATTGAAAGAATAACAATATCAATATCTTGCTTTTAAAACCCAAACTGTGTGACCAAAGGAAACGTTTAATATTAGTTTCACAACGACACCATTTATGTTCTGTGGACATCTTAGGAATTTTATCAAGTGGTAAAGGATGGCTTGTTGATAAAGGATGGCTAACCTCAAGTGTTATGGAAAAAAACCCCTACGGATTGAAGGATGGACTCCAAGCATTACGTACACCCGTTTTTCAAGCGGGGATAAAATTATTCTCGTACTAAAAATTGATTTGTTTAAACTCCCTTTACGAAGTTTTTCACTCAAATTGAGATGACACTTCTTATCGGTGGAGGTCTGCAAATATGGAATAATGGCCTATGAGCAGCGAATGCTCTGTTTCGTGCCAGCACCTATTGCGACCTATTGGATCTCGGTTTACAGGTCTCATCTGAAGATCGGTCTCCAAGTCTCCACGTCCCGCAGTAGGATTTAAACCCGCGACGTAAACCATCTTTCCGACGTGTAAAGAATACAATATTGGACAAACGGGAAAACTAAATGCCAGGGTTCGTGTGCACAAACAACAAATCAAAGACCCTAATGTGCATAATACACCGTGTTGTGAACATTTCGCAAAATGCTGCAAAGGAATATTTAAGATTTTCCCGATTTATGAACTTCCAAATGAAAACGAAAATTCACGTTTGGCAAAGGAAGACTATTTATCAAGATCTTACGTAATTTCTATCTGTTTGAGTCAAACATTTTATGATACACAATGAAATTGACAAGTACGATTCGGCGCGGATGTCTAAGAGAACATTGGTTTGAAATTCTTCTTTGCAATTCGTTTTCAATCCACCTCAGCTACTCTCATACTCACATGCAGTGTTAAAGATATATCCAAAAGAAAAATAATGTCAAAATTGTCGTGTCATATATATATATATATATATATATATATATATATATATATATATATATATATATATATATCTCCAAATTCTCTTTTTGTCAGTAGACTAAAAAAAACTTTAAAACACTTTTTTGAAATGTTTCAACCATGTTACCGGCCTTCGAAATAAACACGACTGATGAAGGCCGGTTAAAATATTCCAAAAAATGTTAATTATATATATATATATATATATATATATATATATATATATATATATATATATTTGAATCGTGCATTGGAATAACTTAATTTGAATTTGATTGAAAATCAACTTCAAAGTTAAATTAAAACTAGTTTTTCCTCAGACGTCTGTGACGCACTGTACCGCCATATTGTTGTCTTTTGACTGTAACAGATGGAAGTGCCGTAAGCTGTATAGCTACAGTCTTTTCAACTTTATGTTGTAGGAAAGTACGTCTGAAGTTATTCCTTTAAACGGTTAGTACTTTTGATAGTAGTAAGAGTACGTGCTTTGTAGAGTATGTGCTGGAATTTACAATGTATCTTTGTAGAAATGTGATTTTCAAGAATTTCTTCATTAAAAAGTGAACTATGAGCAAAGTTTGGATTTCTAAACTGTTGAAATACATTAAATGTCATTAAACTTACAAACAAAGACGATTTCGTTACAAGCCTTTTCTGTTGGAACCAAGACATAATGTTCATGTAGTCTTTCAAATTCTGATAAAATCTCCAATTAAGTAAAAACGGAAAGATAGATGGTCCACATTTTCAACTTCCTAACACAATTGTTTAAACTATTTAAAAAAGAAAAAAAAAAATAATTCTGACACAGTGTTCAAGTGTTTCTTCATTTGGCCCCATTTCTATTGACCTTAATCGAAGGAAAGTTGTTCCCAAGTTTAGAGCTGAAAAAGGCGTCAATCTTGTTTAATCATTGACAATTCCAATTGTTAGATTAGGATAATACGAGAGCTGTTCAATAAATATTTCCTCGGTGCTCAGAAAGAAGCAAACGACGCTTTTCAATAATTTAGTCTTCATGATTTTACTTATTAATCTCTTTTAATTCAAACTCATGTCCATAACATTTTTTATCCAATTTCTGATTGTTTTTAGAAATCATTTTAGGGTATGACCCTTAGTATACTGGAAAATGGCAGATCCAATGATTTCCTGGACTTATTTTTACTTTCTGAAAGGTGTTTTTTTCAGGTTTGGAAATAGAAACAAGTCATAAGGTCAAAGATCTGGCAAATATTGTTAATGTGAAAAAACAATAACTTTCTGTTTATCCCGAAAATCCCTTTACTCTCCAGGGCATGCGGGTTTGGACGCTGTCATAAAGACATTTAATGTAGTGGATTCCTGATTCTAGGTCCTTCCTCTAATAAACCTTTCGATTTTTTTGCAAAAAATTGCTTTCTAGACTCCTTCAGATATTAAACTGTCTCCCCGAATACGAATTTGAACAACAATACCACTAGTATTTAAGAAAATTGCATATAAGTCTGTCTTTGTGCTCTTGCAATTCTTTGCTTTTGTCAGACCTTCGCCGTTTTCATCGAGTACATCTTATGCTAAATTTTGTTTTGATGATTTTTAGCGATAGATCCATGTTCCAATATCTGTTTGAATATCAAACAAACGTGGATAACTACAATTACTGATATTTTAAAATAATTGTTAAGGCTTTCGTACACGCTGTCGTTTTCACCCATTTTTCAAAATATAGGGTAACCTTTGAGTACCAAGCTTTTTTACTGTCAAACGTTTCTTAAAAACAGTGTTAATTACTCCCGATGTGATGTCTATCAAATTTGCTATGTGTCTTGAAGTCAATCATACATAATCAAATATTATTTGTTGAAATTTGGCAAACAGTACATAAGTTGTTATATTTTTTGTTGACAAGGAGGGTACCCATTTTTGATGCCCATTATATAATTTTTTTATCATTGAAATCCAACCGCTCATTTGTATATAGAACAGGCATCGGTTGCTGTAAATGACACATATTTCAGTGAATATTTCTTTGGGATTTTTAACAAGTTTTACAACAGCTTTAATGTAGCCTTTATTTTTACTCTAGTTTACTGATTCTTTACCATTCATTTATAATGCAGTGTCTCGAAAAGCCCTTGTTTCCCAGCTTCTCACGATGAAACTATGTGATGAAAAGTGGTCACATAAACTGTTATAAATTCAGTAAAGATTCAATAATGAGAGATAGTCAAGTTAAATGTCATATGATATCTGTTTTGTATGTCATACAGTTCAGGACATTATTTATTGAACAGCCCTCGTATAATGTATTTGCGTTATGCAAGGGAATAATTGAAAGCAAATAATATTATGAGAAGCAATGTATGAAAGATCACCTGGTTCAAATGTCAATGTCCGACGGCATTTTCTCTAAAATGAAAATATTTTAATAAATGGTTTTGCAAATCAAATGATGTTTTTAAAAGTTCATGTTGAATATTTTAATTATTTGTTTTTTTTTATTTTTACAAAACACAATAGATTTAACTAGCATGTTCCCTTTTACCAATTGTAAAACAAATACATACTGATAAGTGTCTATAACCAAGGTCTTTGACTGCTTCCTTGATAGTTGTCTTTTCACTTTTCCAACCGTAAAGGCATATATGAATACGGATTATATCACAGTCATTTCCATTTGTGTACCTATGTCGAAACACATATCTTTGAAATCATCATTTTATTTTTTTATTTAAATTTGAAACCCAGAAGTTGTTTAATAATAATAATAACTAGAGCAAAGCTCGTTGCAAAGCAACGAGTAGGTCTTCCGTCCGGTTTTGACCGGAAGTGCCGAAAGTGACATAAAAAGAAAGCAATGAGCTAAGTAGTCTCCAGTCACTTTATAATTTCAATTTTGCATCAAAAACCTTTAAAATAAGCTATTTTTGGCTACTTCCGGTTTGACCGGAAGTGATGCCGACGGACGGATAATTAATTTTTATGCTCCCAGAAACATATGTTATCTAAAAACCTGTCAAGAACGGCAAAAATACGTGTTTTCTGACTACTTCCGGTTTGGCCGGAAGTGACGACGCCGGACATATTTTGACGACTCTACTAGATGAAGCTTGACATTTTGAACAACTTTGCTTCTTTGACGTATTACAAATTCTCAATACTTTTTGAGATATAAAGGAAAAACATTCGGCCCCTTTAGTCCCTTAATTTTAGGGGCCAGCCCTTTTTTCGAGATATCATTTGAAAGATCTTGGAATTCTACACTTCTTTTGTTCTATATGTTTTAACAAAATATTTCCAAGTAAAAAGATATAATAGAAAAAGTGTAAAAAATTTTGAAACGCTCAGTATGGCTTTTTTCAGACCATACCGAGCGTTAACGTGCAGTACTTCCGGTGAAAGTTAACAACACAATGCAAATCTACATTTGTTGCTCTATCTTTCAGACAAGGTTTCATCTTCCTGTGATAAGCGATTTTTAAGAAGAGCGACGGACAAAATGACCCTTAAAAATCACAAAATTGCGAAAATTTTCGAACCGGAAGTGACGTCATCAAAATGAAAAAAAATGCATCAAGTTTTTAATAAGTTCTATCAGACCTGAAAGTTTCATAAAAATCTAACGAGCCGTTTTCGAGAAATCGCGTGCACAAAATCGGGGAGAAAAAAAATAATAAGAAAAACAGTGGAAAAGAAACAAACGAATAACAAGAAGGTCTTCCGCTGAAGACGGAAGACCTTAATAATAATAATAATAAGAAACCGAGTAAAAACAATATGTTCCCCAACTTCGTTTGGGGAACATAATAATAAGAAACAGAGTAAAAACAATATGTTCCCCAACTTCGTTTGGGGAACATAATAATAATAATAAGAAACAGAGTAAAAACAATATGTTCCCCAACTTCGTTTGGGGAACATAATAAGAAACAGAGTAAAAACAATATGTTCCCAAACTTCGTTTGGGGAACATAATAAGGCAGCAAAATTCAAATTCTCATTTCTCTACTAAGATTTTTACATCGGGCTCGGAGTTGGTTTTCTTCAGAAAGACAGGACTGGGTTCAAGGCGACTAGGGGTACCACACCGGTAATTGACCAATCAAAATGAACTTAGTCAATTGTAGGTCCATACATTAAGCCGATTTTCCTTTCTTTTGAGAGTTTTTTTAATTTCCTTCCAGGCCAGTTTGACAACTCTGGTACCTGTGCCTAGGAAATTTTATCTACTCTATAAATAAATAAAGTTTTTTGACAGGAACTATTTCTCCAGGGCATAGGAGGCTACTTCCTGGGGTGCTTTTGTGATGTTTATAAAGACATGGAAAACACGTGGATTTGAGGGTAGCCCTGTTTGCATATGCAAATAAATCAGAAAATGTCGTGTACGTACCCTGGTTTTTTGGTGTCAGCTAATGTGACAGGTATTGTTTAACACCCCCTTATCAATATTTTTTCATGAATTCAAACACGTGAGGTTTTACTGGAAAGAAACGTGTATTGCTTTTTAATATACCGAAACTCGCTATTTCTGGGGATTGTGTAATTCTAAAAAAAATTCAGATAAATTTCAATGGTGAAATAAAAGAAGAATGCTTGGTATTAAAATATTAATTCATATCAGTAGAATTGAATGCTATTAACGACATCTGGAGAAATAGGCTTTAAAAGGTTTATATCATATCTTTGTTCGTCTGCACTTAAATTTCAAACACGACAGAATTTGTAATTTTTGCCGTAAAAATTCATAATTTCTATATACTTTAGAGACTTACCGTAAAACTTTCAGGAAACTTTCTATGAAGTCTTTTCTGCACCTTAAGTGAAATTTTATGTCGATCCCAGGTGTTGATCGAGTTTCAGAGAAATTTTCTACGTTGTTATTGATTTTTTTTTTTTAAGGAGAAGGGGGGGGGGGTTGACTTTTTTATTCTAAGCATTTGTTAAAGTGAGTTTGTAAATACATCTACGAACTTGAGCTGGATTGTGACCTTTGGGTCAAGGGGTCAAAGGTCAAGGTCAAAGGTCAAGGTCATCAAAGCATTTCATAAAGAAATATAAAAGTAACGGCCATATCAAGTATACAAGTCATTTGATCATTGCACGCGCGCGAAGGTGCAATGCATGAAAGCTATATCATCGTGACTACACTTTTAATGTGTTTGTATTCTTTGAATTTTGAAACGTTTCATAAAAAAAATTACGACTATATCAAGTAAATCGGTCATTTAACGCATTGCGCGCGCACACGTGCATGCAAGTCCTTGCATTCAAGTTTGATAGTAGCATAATGTAAGAATCCGTCATATCTATTCATATTCTAAATTTCATCCTGTTTTGTTGAGAATCAAAAAAGTTATAGGCATTTAAAGTTTAAGCCAATCAGATCGCAGCACACGTGCATGGGCGTGGTTTCTTGAAAACTTTTATATATCATAGTTTAGGACGTATTAAGGTATGATTATGTTTTAAAATTCAAAGTATTTTGTCAAAAAACAAGTAAGATATTGAGATTTTTGTTTCAGCTAATCAGAGCAAAGCGCACGTGCATGCGCGTGCATGCATGTGCATGATGACCGTAACTTCTTATAGGAGTCTATTGTGTCTGTCTATGTTCTAAATCTTATCGTGGTTGGTTGAAAAACAAGGGAGTTACAGCCATTTGAAGTTTAAGCCAATCAGATTGCAGCGCACGTGCATGCGCATGCTTTCATGACAAATGTTATACATCATGTTGTAGGACATCTTAAAGAATGCTTATATTTTAAATTTCATTCCATTTCGTCAAAAAACGGAAAAGATATTGAGATTTTTGTTTCAGCCAATCAGAGCGAAGCGCACGTAAATGCGCGTGAGTTCTTGCTAATTTGACAGTGTCACATTATCTACACTATTAATATATCCTTATATAATGAGTTTCAAAGCATTTCATCGGAAAATGTTAAAGTTATGGCTGTATTAAATATATTAGTCATTTCAGTCATTTCACGCGCACGCACGTGCAGGCGTATGCGCGCAAAATGACCTTCGTTCCGCACACCTACACAACACACCTATTAACCCTAAAAAGGTTTTAGCTCAGTTGGGTGAACAGTTTCTGAGAACACTCGCGGACAAAAAAGTACCGGAGAAGAAATAAGAAGAAAAAAGAATAATAATAATAACTAGAGCCGAGCTCGTTGCAAAGCAACGAGTAGGTCTTCCGTCCTGTTTGACCGGAAGTAACTTTCTTTTGAGAAAAAAAAGACAAATGAAGTCCAAAAATGGTTTAATCCTCCAAATTTATGTTAATTATTGCAAAATTAAGCCATTTTGGCAACTTCCGGTTGGACCGGAAGTACCGTCGACGGACGGAAAATTAAAATTTAAGCTTCCAGTGACATATGATATTCAAAAACCTGTCAAGAAGAGCAAAAATATGCAATTTTTTACTACTTCCGGTTTGACCGGAAGTGACGTCGCCGGACGTATTTCGACGACCCCATTTGATAAAGCTTGACATTTTGTACAATTTTGCTTCTTTGACGTATTACAAATTCTCAATACTTTTTGAGATATAAAGGAAATACTTTCGGCCCCTCTAGGCCCTTCATTTTAGGGGCCAGCCCTTTTTTCAGATATCATTTGAAAGATCGTGTAATTCTACACTTCTTTTGATCTATATGTTTTAACAAAATATTTCTAAAAAAGTTATCTTTGAAAAGGTGTCATAAATTTTGAATTTCTTGATAGGACTATTTTCACGCCATATCGAGCGTCGGCGCTTCGTACTTCCGGTAGAAATGATATACTGAATTCACATCTCCAAAGGTTGCTCTATCAGCACTGAAAATTTCATACTTCTATCTTCAACTGTTTTTGAGAACATTGCCGGACAAAGTGACCCTCTAAAAATGACAAAATCGCGAAAATCTCCGAACCGGAAGTGACGTCATCAAAATAAAAAATTTTGTTTCTAGATTTTTTGATGTTCTATCAGACCTGAAAGTTTCATGAAAATCCATCGAGCCGTTTCTGAGAACTCGCGTGCACAAAATCGGTAAGAAAAAAAATAATAATAAGAAAAATAGTGGAAAAGAAACCTAAGAAAAACAATAAGGTCTTCCGCTGAAGACGGAAGACCTTAATAACTAGATCAAAGCTCGTTACAAAGCAAAGAGTAGGTCTTCCGTCCTGTTTGACCAGAAGTACTTTCATTTTTAACAAAAATGAGAAATAACGCCCGAAAATGCTTTGAATCCCCGAAAGCTAAGTTAATTAATGCAAATATAAGCCATTTTTTGCTACTTCCGGTTTGACGACGACGGGCGGAAAATTAATTTTTAAGGTCCAAAAGAAATGTTCCCCCCAAACCTGTCAAGAACGGCAAAAATACGCGTTTTTCGACTACTTCCGGTTTTGCCGGAAGTGACGAAGCCGGACGTATTTTGACATTTTAAATAGATAAAGCTTGACATTTTAAACATCTTTGTTTCTTTGATGTATTAAAAATTCTCAGTACTATTTGAGATATAAAGGAAAAACTTTCGGCCCCCCTGGGCCCTTAATTTTAGGGCCAGCCCTTTTTTGATATATCATTTAAAAGATCTTCAAATTCTTTACTCTTTTGTTCTACATGCTTTAACAAAATATATCTAGGTTAAAAGTTATCGTAGAAAAGGTGTTAAAAATTTTGAAATTATTGA